GGTTGGTATTGTTTGAATTCTAATCGGGAATGGTTGGTATTGTTTGAATTCGAATCGGGAATGGCTGGTGTTTTAATTTTAAACGGACAGCGAGATGCTTCATAAATTCGAATCGGGAATGGTTGATCTTGTTTGAATTTTCATGAATGAATGAAAGGATAAATGAAGATGCTTCGTAAATTCGAATTGAAATTGATTGATGTTGTTTGAATTTTAAACGAAGAGCCTTGATAGTTTTTTAAATTCTAAACTCAGAGCCTTGGATCTTTTAAATTCCAATCATGATGCTTTAAAACTTTTTGAATTCTTATCGTGAATGGTTGTACTAATTAAATCTAAATGGAGAACCTTAATTCTGTTTAAATCTTAATCTGGAATGGTTGGTGTTGTTTGAATTCTAATCGGAAATATATCCTTGGAGAGGTTATATAATATAGGCAGAGACTGTACCCGGATCTCTTTCATATTTAAGTGAATAAATATATAAATATAAGGGTGAAAACACTAAGTTTATGCATGAAAATCATAGAATTTGGGATTGTCGACGTCCGTTCAAATATTGAAATTCGTGTACAATTAACGATATTTCATTTCCTAATACTGCACGTACTTGTGTGGATGGTTCTTCATATTAGTATCATAAAATAATATACCTGCTAATAATTAACAGACATTTATTCAAGATTATAAAATTTTGTGTTAAACAAAATGTAATGGAAACAAGATATTTTATTATTCAGTTTTATCCCACTAATAGAAACATCTGTTCAATAATATTAATAATATAGTACATGGAGTCATATTAACCTTCTGGTTATGACGTCAATCTTACCTGCATGTGGAAGTTGTTGATTAATTTTTACAGGTGAGGAAGGAGGGAGACGCCCACTATACCCCGTTAGAATTCTTCACCAAATGTCAAACAAGTTCTTCAGGCGATGAAATATGAAGGTTGAATTATTACAGTCTTAAGTATCATGCTATAACAATTTTCATGAAAGTACGAAAGTACTGCAGCGGTCTAACATTCTGCACTTGGATTCAAAATTTTGCTTTTTTAGCTTTTTAAAATTGATCCCAACCGCACCTAACGATTCAAAGAAACGCCACTACAAGTATTCTGTAAAAAATATTTACTCAATGGTTGCTTCCCCAGCCTCCCCCCCATCCACTAAAGAAGCCATCGAAATGCCACACAGCGATTCATTCCTTTCTTTTGAGATCCAATGATATTAACTAAAATCATGAAAAGATATTACAGAAATAGACTGGTTGGTTGTTCGGTCGTCTGGAATAACAACCATCATGCAGCTGTAAGAGAAATTGTACTTAAACACGGTGTATGACGCCCACTCTCAAACCTGAACCCTTGATATTTATATTGTGGATAGTATTATCTGGATGGTTGTTGTATATAAATATATAAAAAAAAATCATTTAGAAAGGTAACCTTCAACACATTTATCTCTCTACATCTTCTTTATGGTTTGTATTACATAACACGATTGACTATAAACTCTTGTAAGTAATAAATACATGTATAGTTAGTTATAATAAGCAGAAAAAGATTTGTGAAATGTCCAAATGAAACACAACGGAAATCTTGAACACGGTTTTGATTTGTAAATGAATTTCCTAATTTTAAATTAATGCGTCTACAAGTCCAAGACCAATTGAGGAAAACAAAGTTGATGCTGTTGTGCTCATATAATTTCCTTCGTAGACTTGTACTCTGTGTGACATATTGTCCGTTCCTGCAAAAATATTCCACATGGCTTTCAGTGCAAAGAGGTCCTATTAGAGATTCAAGGGGTGCACACAATATCCCTTCTTATGTAGTAACAAATAATGCAGAACATGGCGACCTTTACTTACACAAATAACTCTTCAAATTTCTAACAAAATACAACACCTTCATTGTTGGTTTATATAACTTTTCTTCTGGTGGTAAAGAATTTAAAAAGGGAAGTAGGTTATAAAAAAGAAGCAGAAAGTGCGTTTGTACTTTCAATGGGGGGGGGGGAGGGGGTGGGGGGAACAAATTATTGTATGTGAACTAAGTTACAATATCACATTGGGATGTTCTCACTTTATTACGGGTGTGGGACTGCGGGAGTGTAGACGATTGTTATAGTAGAAGTTTTTTGGGGGGAAATATTATATGGTTCCAAAGAAAATAGCAACAGCCTTCCCACTGAGCATCTTTTTGCGGCTGTATGATTATAATCCATTATTATATGTGATTATTATGATTAGTTTGAATAAAAATAAAATTTACAATGTTTTGAATGTCCTTTGTTTTGGGGGTGTGAAGGGTTCAAATGATTACTCCAGAGGTGTGAAGGCTGAAAAAGTTTGGAAACCACTGTTTTAGAGGGTGAAAGCTGTTTTTACATAAGACACTGGACACTGTTACTCTGTTACTCAAAGCCTACCTTGTCGAACCCTAGCTCTTTTTCCAATTTGTAAATGAAGTATCTCTTCCGCCCTTGACCTTTACATGTTGGAGATTCAAACCTTCTGCTAAACCTAATTATACTTCTTGTTTGATAAAAAAAAACTATAATGACTGCCTTCTGAATGCCCCTAACCTTCTGCCCTTGATGTTAAAAAAGGAAAGATATCCGACTGAAAAATGAATTTATGAAAATATATGACATAGGGGTTACTGTGTAGGACTTTCTTTAGGAGATTTTCTAGACACACAAAAGTAATGAATTAGATTTTTGTTGAAAGTGTTTATCGATTATTTCGTCTTAATTATATTTTCTCTTTAAAATTGGCGACATTTTCCCATTTAATGAAATGATTGTAGAGACATTTTTACTGTGTACTGACGTCAATGCCTCTTTTTCAATTAGACTCATTTACATTTACTTCTCATTTTCCATATTTTATCTATTTTCTGTTTTCTGTCAGTGGTCGGAAAGAGTTCAGGTGTGGTTAATTAGCAATATGATATTCAAATTATGATATCTGAGATTAAATACCTGTCGATGATGAATAGCCTAATAACGTAACGAGACATAATGCGTAGGCTAGATGGCGGCCTGAGATAACTGCTTCTTTTAACTATAAGAAAAAAACACTTATTAAATATCTGCCCACAAAAATCCAATCTAATTTCAGTTTTCCATTAATAGGATATTATATCATATTGTTTTGGGCGCCAAAGCGACGCGCACCTCGATAGTTAGATGTATAAGTTATTAAAGTACAACATCATATAATATATATCAAGCCAGCATCACACAACAAAGCTATCAATTGTGTTTCAAATTACCAGAGACTATCTTGTCAGATCTATGTTGATGACCAGAATATTACTACTTCTACTACTAAACCCCTCACACACCATCAACTAAATCGACCTTGGACTTCGACAATAAATCAATTTTCTTGGCTCCATTCTTATTTTCTTAATTCATCTTCTACACGAGTTGTTGTGTGTTTATCATCAAAATATTACCCTTCCATACACTTGCTACATGTTCCCGCCATATTTCTAACAGTCTATTGACGTCATAATGACGTCACGACCACAAAAGCTTATATTGTCTGGATGAGGCGAATCAACATTAAAATCGTTTTCCATTAGCTTTACATTATCATTATTGCCTGGAGGAGAAAATTGAGAATTGATCTTTTCGCGATTAGTGCTAAACTAATTTATCAGAAGGTTTTGGCATGTAAAAATTCACTCTATAATCATTTGGTATTCACTTGTAATTTGGTAACAAGAAATAAGCTTCAATATTTTTCTCGGAAGCAATTTCTACCTATGATAAATAGGAGAAAGTGACATTTCGTTAACAATTTGCACTATTCTTAAAGCCAAATTTCAATTTGTATTCATAACAAGTACAAAAAGCATAGGCTATAAGCTCTGTGAGGTATCTACGCGCTGTTAAGGACGCATTCACAACGTGTATAGAACAAGCAAATGACATGCCCTGACCGACTGTGATACAGAACCCCTTAAAATTAGATCCTAATTACTAGATCGTCTGTATGGCTCTTTTTGTGTGAAATTTTCATAAAACGAAAGTAGTCCTACTAGCCAAGAATTTCCGTAAACGAAATGCCGTCCTCAATATCCTCAGATGCACGCAATTTTTTTCCATAAAATGAGAGCGCTATGCCACCTTCGCTAACAACCCCTGCAACATTCACCCCCCACCAAACATCATACAATACATTTTAAAGTTTTCATTGAATATTTCGCCTTAAAAGAGGATACTTCAGAACAAAGCCAATCTATCAGAGTTCCCTCCCATTAGTTGTCAATTAAAATAAAACAAGATGAGTTTAACACACTATACTTCCATGCTCATTAGCAAATGAATAAAGGATTGAACAACCCGTTTGCTAGAATTAATTGGTATTTTTTTGTTCCGTACTATAGACGCTTTACCCATAAAGGTATCTGAAACAACGGTCACAGTATTAACATAGTTTTTGTTGGAAATCCATGGAATATCATCCTTTATCATTAGATTCGTTTGTGGTAATATATATCTCAGACAGAAAGCATCTCGAGTTATCAAATTTACATTTATATTCCTGATGTAACTGGGTATGTCCAGCGCCTCAACTATGAGTGGGTTGAAGCATTTCCCCTGGGAACTTTTTTTTATACACAATATACTCTCCTCCATATTTTCTTGGTGGGTTTGGGCTCCTTTATGGGTGGGGAGAAGTAGATGGTTCAACCAGTCCCTATGGCAGTTGAGCTATTGTGTTTGTCATCAAGGAATTCTTCTCAAAGAGTCCACATAGCTTATATTGTTTATCACACTGTGTGATAAATAAGCCGTCTTCAATGCCTAAATGACAGGAAGTCCAAAGGCCAATAACAAAAAAGTATAGTGATACAGAGATACGGTTTAAAATATTCGACTTTCGCCAATGTCCGGTTTCACGAGAAAATGCTTTTACTGGCAGAATGGCGGGAACTGTCTGTAGAGAAATCTATTTTTGGAAATCAAAATATAACAAAAAAACAATAAAAGATTTTATATACAAATTCTGGATAAGATCAAATTTATTGAATCTTTTTAAAGATGGAAAGATACAAATGATAACCTCTGATGTATGTTGTATTGCAATGAGCAATTATAACAAAATATGAGATGAGAGGGGGGAGGGTGATGATACAGGGTCGGGCTGACTCGGGGTAGGGCAGGATGCAGCTGGTGACAATGTACATTCAATAAATGTATATACATACAATATATAACTTGAGAGTAACAATAATGGTAGTTCAGGGATTTGACAACAGACAAATGACAGGCCTCAACATAAACATATAATCATTATTAACAAAATTGTAGTTGGTCTGCATGCACATAATCAGTCTGTATATAGTAGTAATCGTCAGACAACTGGACTATTTCAGTCTGCGAGTAGTAGTAATCGTCAGACAACTGGACTATTTCAGTCTGTGTATAGTAGTAATCGTCAGACAACTGGACTATTTCAGTCTGAGTATAGTAGCAATCGTCAGACAACTGGACTATTTCAGTCTGTATATAGTAGTAATCGTCAGACAACTGGACTATTTCAGTTTGTGTATAGTAGTGATCGTCAGACAACTGGACTATTTCAGTTTGTGTATAGTAGTAATCGTCAGACAACTTGACTATTTCAATCTGAATATAGTAGTAATCGCCAGGCAACTGGACTATTTCAGTTTGTGTATAGCAGTAATCGTCAGACAACTGGACTATTTCAGTCTGTGTATAGTAGTAATCGTCAGACAACTGGACTATTTCAGTTTGTGTATGGTAGTGATCGTCAGACAACTGGACTATTTCAGTCTGTGTATAGTAGTAATCGTCAGACAACTGGACTATTTCAGTTTGTGTAGAGAAGTAATCGTCAGACAACTGGACTATTTCAGTCTGTGTATAGTAGTAATCGTCAGACAACTGGACTATTTCAGTCTATGTATAGTAGTAATCGTCAGACAACTGGACTATTTCAGTCTGTCTATAGTAGTAATCGTCAGACAACTGGACTATTTCAGTTTGTGTATAGCAGTTATCGTCAGACAACTGGACTATTTCAGTCTGTGTATAGTAGTAATCGTCAGACAACTGGACTATTTCAGTCTGTGTATAGCAGTTATCGTCAGACAACTGGACTATTTCAGTCTGTATATAGTAGTAATCGTCAGACAACTGGACTATTTCAGTCTGTGTATAGTAGTAATCGTCAGACAAATAGAATATTTAAGTCTGTGTATAGTAGTAATCGTTATACAACTAGAATATTTCAGTCTGTATACTAGTATAGTAATTAGTTAAGACTTTTTCATTCTTTATACAAAAGTAATTGTCAGACAACTGGACTATTTCAGTCTGTAAACAGAAGGAATCGTCAGGCAATTAGAGTCTGTGTATAGTAGTAATAGTCAGAACTATTTCAAACTGTATACAGAAGTAATCGTCAGTCTACTGCACTATTTCAATCTGTATACAGTAGTAATCGTCAGACAACTAGACATTTTTCTGTCTATTTCTATAAACAGCAACAATCGTCAGATAAACTATAATAGCCTTAATACAGAATTAATAGTCACACAACTAGACATTTTAGCCTATATTCAGAGTTAATCGTCAGACAACTTCGCTTTTTCAATCTGTATCTGGTAGTCATTGTCAGCTAACTAGACTATTTCAGTATGTATACATTTGTATGACTATTTGATAATCTATTTTAATTATATTATATATAATGGATATAGCTCTATACCACACCAAATATACCAGGAATTTTCAATAAAAATAAGAGGAAGAAACTGTAATTTTTGAATTTAGTTCATGTAACAATGTGAATATAGTAATGAACAAAAGTTCTTATTTGTATGTGAACTGTCTGGAAGTGATAAAGACTTTTGATTTCCAGTGTAAGCAGGTATTCCAACATTGTTCCACTATTTCAAAGAAATATACAACAGATAGCTTTAAAGATGCAACAAGTTTGGATAATGAAATTTGTTGTGAAACAGGGTCAAACTATGTATAAAAAACTACCAAGAGTGAATACTATGTTCTATGAAAATCCATGCAAAATTTTAATTTTTGATATTTAAATTCAAGGAATTTGTGGAAGTGTTGATTGGAAAGTTCTTATTATTTATTTTGAACGATATCTTAGTCATTCATCAAGTCTACCAAACAATTTCTTTCTGCTCCATTGTTTACAGAATGAAAGAAATATATAATTATATACATCAAAATATTAACAATGAGAAAATAATACAAACACTTATCTTAAAAAATAACATAAATTTCACAATTTTTTTTATTTCCTTTTTTTTTTTTTAAAGACAGCAATATGGTATTCTATGAGATAGAGATGTACAATGTATTAATTTTAAGATAAGAATTTGTATTATCATCTTTTAACAAACTGTTTGAAATAAATAAAATAAATATTTAAACAATAACAAATAATTGTATGCCCTTGTTTTTAAAGTGAATTTTAAATTTCAAACTAAATTTAAAATCATCTTTATTCATGAAATTTTCTCTAACCTGCTTAACAACTTTTTACGAATAAATTTCCAATGATTTCACATTCAAAATGATATCTTCTGACGTTTGCATGGAATCCGATTTTTTTTCTGTAGTAAAAGTAAGAATCTTATATCCTACAATGAAGTTTTGTTTCCCCAACTTTTTACCTTGGATAATTTATATTTCACATATATCTTTTCAAATATTTCACATAAAAACAATTTCTAATTAGAAATCACATGATTTTTCTGTCATTCAAAAAGCCAAAAAGAATTTCATTTTGAAAGTACAAAACCCTTGAAAATTATTTTAAATCTTAAGTACTGTTTAAAAATGGCTTAGTTTAACAATATTTTACATAAAATATGTATTGCTGTAAATAACATCTAGTAATAAATAAATAGAAAATAATTTGACAAGCAATAAAATAATGTCTAAAATCACACAAGCAATCACATAATAAAATAATACCATTGACATAGTTTAGAATCTTCGTTACTAATCAGACATTGCAGACTCATGACACTTTCCTTTAATCATTTACTTTATAAGATGATGGAACTTCAAGAAATTTTCAGTTTAAATATCTTAGTAATGATTTTGAAACTCAACTGTTAAAACAGAATATAAAGAGGTTTTCTAGAGTTTGTATGAGCAAGGGACACTTATAGCCTCCATTTGCACCATACCATCCACTTTGATGACTATTGCGAAAATTCCATAAGTATCCAATGGCATTTGTGAAAGAAAAGCTTAAAAATCTTTTTATAATCCCTTTTAATACTTAAATCAAATCCCTTTAAATCTTTCAACATTCTGCTAGCAAATCAATATCAAGAATACTTCAATTCTCAATACTAAGTTCAATTTTCAATATTATCCATTATTGTATTAGCAAAAAAAGAATATGACAAAAACATCAATTTTTAAAAAGATTTTAAATTTTAAATTGCTTATAAGTATTTTTTCTTGAAATCTACAATTACAATTAGTATTTCATGTAGTCTATTGGCACAATTATACTGGAGATATATAAATATATAATATATTGCTTTAGATTGTTTACACGAAGATGGAAACTATGTCAATAGGAAAGCAATTAACATATTGTATACAAATTATAATATAGAAAATAATTGTCATTTACATATTCATACACGACACAAAATCATGACAGAATCTGTTATATATCAAATTATCACCGGACAGTTTACGAACTTGTACACCAGGGGTCTCCCCCTCACACACTTCCATTTCCATTTGAACATGATTATTTTGAAGTCGAAGCATATTTTGAGAACACTGATAGTTAACATCTGGACAACGTGTGTCTAATATTTGTTTAATCGCTAATAAAACATCCTCTACAGATTTATGAAGTGCAGGATTAATGTTGAATAACAGTTTAGATTCAGCTGCACTTTCTTGTGAACAAGATTGAGCTATAGTAGGGAAACTAATAGGAGATTTACGTGAAGAAATTTCAGCAGTTTGTTGTCGAGATGATAAATCAAGCACAGTAGCAGCCATGGCTTCTGATTGGTCAAAACTATGAGTTTTTATTTGGCCTGTGTCCAATCCTCGCAAATGATCCACATATGGTATGTTCTGTAACGCGGCTTGTTGAAGGGCGTAGGAATCGTGTATTGTGTGATGACGTCGGAAACGACCTTGACTTGACCTAGAGTCAGAGTTTATATAATATTGATTGTTACACCAAGCAGGAATCTCGTTAAACTGATTTCGTTGACCTAAATCTCCATTCGAAGTTTCAGGTGGAATAGAGGCTAAGTTTGTATTTACAAAATTATTAAAAATATTGTATGTAGGAAATTTAATTGTAGGGGTATGAGATGGAGAGGTTGGGGATTCTTTTTTAGCAACATTTCCAAACTTTTTTCCAGCATCCGATGTCACTGTTTCTTTTGTATCCATTTTGTTGTCATCCTCCTCTTGTAGTGTTGGTACATCAGTCACATGACCAGATGTATCTGTGATGCTAATTTGTGGGTTTCCAATGAATTGTTTGTGTCGGACCTCCTGATTAGTCAATCTTTCTGGAAGACTTTCATTCATCTCTTCATCCTCTACAGGTGGACGTGGAATATGAGCTGTATTATCAACAGCATCTTCGCGAATCATGTGAAGATTTTGTGGAAAATTTGGTGGTGGACTACTTCTTTGATGGAATATGAAATTAGAAGGTGGTGATTCGGAACGTGAAGAAGTTAAACCTGCTGTTAAAGTAGGAGGACTAGCACGATGTAAATTTGGACCGACAGGTGATGGCTGTATTTGTTGAAGATGTAATTGTTGTAAATGTTGATAAAGATTGCAAGGTTGAATATCAGCAGGACTGGTGGCAGTCGGACTAAAATGTGGCCGTTGATAACTTGGTGAACTAGGTAGAGGTGGGGAGGGAATTGGTGAACGTTGTAATGACTGAGCCTATAAAACAAGAAACATTCTTCACATTGCAGATATATATTTATTTGCTACTTGTGTCTATATCAAATATCATTCATTTATTCTGTTAGTTATACAAACATAAAACAAAGAAGTTGACTATTTCCTAAATCAAAACGAGGTGAAATTTATGTCAAAATATGATTTAGATATTTTTGGTTGTCAGCCTTATAGACATGTAGCACAGGCAAAGATGTACTGGGATAAGTATCTAGAGTACTCAAGCCATTCTAGGATTGAACCCAATAAGAATAAAACAATCTGTACACACCTGTAATGACTGGGGATAGAAACGTTTATCAACTTGTTTCTGAAAAGCAGAAAACAATTATTTGTACAATAATGTTGTTCCTTGATTTATAGGATCTTTAATGATTTAATCACAGATATAGCATAGTAAGAGAAGAAATCACATGTAAATTATGTTTACAAGCTTGGCAGAAACATAATATTCCCACTAAAGTGTAACATTAGATTTTGGCTTTGCACAGGATGGGGGTCTTACAATTCCTCTTAAACTTAATTAGCAACTTTCATCAAGCCAGGAATCACAGACATCTGATAGGAACTTGGAATGATGCAAATAGAAGCCAAAAATGGTCCTGGAACACATAAATTTTTTAGAAAAACTTGTAACAATCCCTTTAATCTAAAAAAATTATATTTAAATGAGAAAAACATTTTGAAACCCATACCTGTAATTCTAGACATTCATGTTGTAAAGCCTTCAATGAACTAGTACTACTAGTATTATGACTAGTAGATTTCAGAGAACTTGCACTATGAACTGTGAACTGTTGCTGACCTAATGTTTGATTAAATATTCGTTCTAAATGCGTCTGGTATTTATGTAAATTAGATAGACCATCACTTGCTCTTCGTACTGGTGAAAACCTCTCATTAGGTAGATGTAAACTATTTAAATCTTTATATGTTTCTCTACCTTCAAATCAAATTGTTTTAAAAAAAAAATTAGATGGAAGAGGCTGGCAACAATGTAAATGATAATGATATTGTGAATTTATATTACAAGGCATCATTAATACTAATTATGGAAGTGTGACATCTGCTAGGCAATTAGGTACAATAGGTTCTAATCCTACTAAAAGTAAGAAAAATTCAAAACCTGTGGTTTCAGAAGGTTTCAGAAGATGAGCATACCTGATGTCACCCTGTAAGTTTATACTCAGTTATTCAATGTCCTTAAATAATGTATATGTCATAATTACATTATCTTATTATTTCCATGAAAGACTTTATTGAACTTACTTGGTCTTTCTTGTGGTGATAATAAGCCGCCAGTACGTCGAGTTCTGATTGGTTGAAGTGATAATTTAAGTTGTAATTCATCAGGTATATCATTCATGGGATTAACAACTGCTAGGGTATGTCTTTTAGTTAACCCTCTTGAAGCCAAATATCTATATCAAATCATACATATATAACTTGACAATCAAGAGAATGAAAATGAAATATTTCATGCAGTCTGACAAACTGAAGATTTTGTAATAGGTCTCATGGTGTTAAGGAGCCATGTTTTAAAATGTTCAGGGTCAGGTGAGTGTCATGTTACCTCCAGTAAGAAATTTGAAATTGATGGGAAGAATACCATTTTATGTATATTTTTGGGGTGCCAAAGTACTACACTTACTACTGGGATGAGAACAGGGCTGTTGATTAAGTTGTATTTTTCCAGACATGAAGTACAGGATAGCTCAAATGTCCATTTTTGACAAGAATAGAATCTGAACCATGGTAGAACTAAAAAGACTTGACACTATCAGCGTATCAAATCAAATCAATCACTGACTATTTGGTGAGCACAATAAACTAATAACCCAAGTGATTAAGGGATTAACATGGAATTTAACTAACGGTACATAGTATAAGTAGTGTCTACTACAATAGGCTATGTTGCTAGTATGTTAATTCATGAGAAATAAAGAACCTCAATCTTACCTATTGACAGCATCAGAATCTGGTTCCTGATCACTTCCACCATCCTCTACTTCCTCCACAGTGATTGAATTCTGTAATGATGGGGTTGGGAGTGGAATGCCTGTAGGTGATAACGTTGACTGAAATACAAACAATATCATCTGACTACCTCAATGATTAGAACAGATTGATCAGTAAAATAAAATGGAGTTTTAAATTTAATTTTCTGCATCTTAGCGGGTCAATGAAAATGTCAACACCATGTAGTGAGCAATGTTTGATATATAGCAGTATTTATACAGTACATTGTATATTGGTCCATTAAGGAGCACAAAAATAACACTTACTACTCCACTTTTGTATGAAAGCAGGCATGTAATTTGAACTATGATAAATACTCAAAAGTCATTACATAATAAAACTTACAGAAGAGAGAGCTCCATGACTACCAGTTTGATTACCCATAAAAACTTGCCGATGAAATTGTTGAGAAAATAAACCAATGTTATTGTTTCCACCACCAATATTGGCACCACCATCTGATGCTCTCCTACTGATAGTGTTATCAACTGTAATTATAACACAAACCATAAGGAACCTCTTATGGTTCAAAAGCACAAAGGAGTTATCAGGTGCTTTATCACGATATCAAGCATTCTCAAATCTTACTAACACCAGTCACAATCAAATCATTGAGTGTGCATATGTTGGTTTAAAAAATGATGTTACATATACCAAAGATTGAGAATAATGATTGACTGCAAGGTGTTTTATACATTTAAATATACGAAGATGACAGTTAATGTAACTACAGTCAAACTTGTATTAAACATGCTGTCAAGGGCTGCTTACTACAGGGTGGTGCATGGCAAGGGTTTGGTGCACACAGTTAAGAATGACAAGTTAATATTACGTAATTACCGGAATTTACTGACAATAAATGATTGTTGATCTTGCAGTCACTCTCTCAACCAGATATAGCAAATAACAAAGGCAGAAATTATGAACAATATAAGTCTGCTAGAGAAAAAGATTTTCTACTTACCTCCCATGAATAGATGTGGTTGGAGTAAGTTGTTGTTATCCTGTATAGCTAAACTGTGTGGAGGGAGGGTGTTAATTAATGGAAGATTGGTTGGCTGACCATTTGGCCACCCTTGTAAAGTTAGGAAGATATTGGGTTGTGGTTGAGCCAGACTTGGCTGATTGTGAGCTAGTTTAGCACGAATATCTTCTGGTGCCTCTAATCTAGAATCACCAACACCAACTGTATGTCGTCTCATGGCTAGATATCTTGCTAAAGCTTCAGGGGAGGGTTCTTCATCAGAATCAGACTGATTACTGTCTTCTTGTTGCTAAAAAAAATATACATATAATCAGGTTATAATCAGAATGATCAAAAATCATTATTTGCACAGCCACAATTGATGGTGCGTTCAACTAGAGTTAAGGCAGCTTAACTATAAACCGATTTTCGGTTAAACATAACCTGTCTTGCTCCTACTTCGGATGTGGCTTAAAACATAGTTTGACTGGATATGTCATGTCTGCACATGCTCCATTCATCTTAACAAATTCCAGCCATTATTATTGTCGTCATAATGGGCATGTGCAATGATATTGTAACCTCTGAACTTTCCAATAAATTCCAAAGTAATATCAAAGCTGGTTTAACTTATGCCAATCAATCAATCAATTCGTTTATTTGGTACTGTGTGGCTGTTAGTCATGGTACAAATTATAAACATATCACAATAAATATATTGACTATATAGTGCAATAAGTGGCAGGTTTAACTTATGTCTGTCTGAACAATCACCAAAAAAAAGAAAACAAGACTCAAAGAAAGATTGATGGTTAAGCTGCCTTAACTTGAGTTGTCTATAAGATTATCTCATTAACATTACTAAACTTGTTTTTAAACTTACAAGTTAGAAACCAGACTTTGAATACAATGCAATTTTACTACCCTGATAATTCAATCAACAGATCCCTTAGGTCCGAATTAAGCATTAAAAGTTAAAAAAAAAGGGGGGGGGGAGTAGAAATATCTGCAACACTTACAGCAATGTACTGATCATAGGGGAATTGCACTTTAGGAATGGTAGCACCATGTAGTGTTGTTTGTAGTGAAACAGCAGGATTATCATGTACTTCAACTGGTACTTCTACCCTTTCCACTATAATGACAATAAATGAATTAATAAGGAATTAAATGAACAAGAGGGATACATACAATACTCAGTGTATAGCGGCGAAAAAAAATAATCAATTTTTTAATCTCTCCTTTCTTTTTAACAATGACAAACCATAAGATATAGCTTACATATTATATTGATCATAAAGCATGTAACTTGAACATCATCTATTTTATTATTGCATCAAGAACAGCTATGTACATAACTCATGATAATGTAACAATATCAAATATAACCCAATTTATTTTGAAAATTCACATTTTTACCAAAAGATACTGGATACATTGTGGTGTTACAAGGGATGACTTACCTACACCAGTAGTAATACTAGACCGTCTTTCTGTTCTAGTAGCTAGTGGTAAAACAGTGTGAGGGAGTCGATTAGATAGTGTTTTAGTTGGATGTTTACGATATCTATCTAACAACAAATGGTAGATGGCACTGTGATGATCGTAACTATGGTCTTCTATAGACTGTAAAACAAGGAAGAAGGAATGAAAATGCAAATCCATATTCAAAATTTTTACTTATCATTATTATTATTTATTCAATAAACATTATTATGAAAATTTAGCCAAGAATATTCTTGAATTTGGCTGCTAACTAGAACTGGTTGCTATGCTATATGGTGACCATTTTACACAAGTTTGTCTGTATGATAACCATATAATTGCTATTTATCATAGATAGGGTTTCAATGTATATGACAGATTATAATCTTTTACAGAGTTTTTAAAAGTTAAAACAAATTTATCAGTATAGGAATATATTTAAGAATCTAGTTAATTGGAATCTTAACAACATCAAGCTAGGATATCTTTTATATTAAATAATGTGTGTACAATTAGTCATCAATTGAACCTAAATTTTTATATTTTTTTTCCAGATCTATTTGGTAAGGCAAACAACCATGACAATAATAATTTATTTATCTATACAGTATTTTTAACATATAATTTTTTCATGGAAAAATGGTCTTAAAGCAAATCTTGTCCCTTTTACATTGCTTTATACAGAAAACCAACTTGATTTTAATGTAACTCTTGTGATTTGTCAGTTATTTTGAAGAATGATGTAGAAATTGTATTAAAAGTGATAGTTAAACCAAGTATTTGAAGACTACATCCAGAATGTTTAGTAAAATATAGAGTGTATGTTTTGGTTGCGCAAGATAGAGCAATAATTAAAGAGAAATCACAAGAACTTGACTCTGAATTATGTTTCATGTTTCATGACCTAAAGAATCCCTGCAACTACTTAAATGATAGGACAGACAAATACATTATCATTACTATGGTCTCAAATGATGACACAGTAACTACAGGTTATTAAAACCAAGTCAAATCAACATGTACAAGTCTTCTCAGTCTCTTGTCAAGTGAGAGATTTTAAAAGGCAGGGTAATGGACGTCTATTGGATAATAATAATAATATCAAGTTGTCTCTGAGGTTCAAAAACATGATTCCTGGTTAAAGATAGGTAACTTAATGTGTATCTCAAGGCACTAAGCAAATGTACTCAAATGTATCTTAGCCTGCAAAATATCTGGATATCAATATTTCCTAGCAACATATATTGATTTGTTGGTGATTAAAAAAAAATACTGAGCAATTGTTCTCTTTTACATGGAAATTTATCAAAATAAAATAGTACCTAACAATAGCACAAGCCCAAAACAATCTGGCAACAAAATTTAGAAGTCAGAATATTTGACTGCAGAGGTCAAAAAAAGTAGCATCCAAAAACTGAATCTATGTCTTTACTACTTCTAACTCACTGCAGGGGCCAAAAATTCCAAAAATGTACACCTATGATCACCTACCTTAATAGTTTTTTCTCGGTCCATACCCATCTGTTCCATAAAATTGAGGATCTCGTCACTAATATCATCAATATCAGCATTACTATCAGTAAATATATTATACTGAGATACTAAATCACTAAAATCATCAGTTTCATCAGCACCAGACGTCATCCATGTATGATGAATAATCTTATCCATATTAAATCTTTTACTAGGATCAACAATTAACATACCTCGTATTAATAACTCACAATCTAAAAAGAAAAAAATAATGCATAGTGCAATGAAGGGAATGTTGGCAGACAGGGTACATACTTTTTTCATGTCCAACAATGAATTAACTTTATGTCCAACTGTGCTCATTGTTAGATGGTTGAGTAACCCTGTTGATTAAGTAAAAGCACTAGCTTGTACAGCACTAAGAGCTGCATGCATGTCATGAATTTACAATCTAAAGTACAATTATAATTCCTCAGATAGCAGGAACAGATCAAGAGAACTTTACAGGGCTTGGAAAGGTACTGAGGATGCAACTATGTTTCAGGGACTAGGATAGAAGGGTGGGGTGCTTTGTTATGCTTTATATTATTAGAGCATAAAGTTGATCAAGCTTATCTAGATGCATCTTCACAATGTCAAACTATTACAAACTTCAGCTTATACCTTGACGTCAATAGTAACCTTTCTTGTATCACAGAATGCAGCAATTTGATTGGATTATGACAGCAAATGCAACCAAAAGGCCTTTGATTGACTGTATTCGCTAGCATACAATCCAATCAAATCACTGCATTTACATACTTCTCTCAATAAAGGTCATTATTACTTGAAATTGTGAAGATTTTTCTAAAATTAAAACTAAAAACAAATTGGCACATATAAATAAAAACTAGATCAGGAAGTGTTAATAATTCATAAAATTTAACCCTCCAAAACCATTTGATACCACAATATTCAAGTGGTGTCAGGTGCTCCAGAAGGAACTCTAATATAAGACAGTTTTATTCTATGTGCTAACTGATAAAGAAAGAGAATAGCTAAATCTTATTTTCATCAACATATAATAATTATAATCATCAAACTGAAGTAGTTGTTGAAAATCTTCATGTTCATCTTATTAATAATTCACATTTAAAAAACATTAGCCAAAGGTAGCACCACATCTTTCAACAAGCATTCAAACATGGCCCTACAAGTATCTATCTATCAAATCTGATTTTTGTTTGATTTTTTTAAAACTCTAAATGATGAAAACATAAATAAAAATTTAATTGGTGGATATCCAGTTCTTATTCAGTGCATTGATTGTTTTGTTACAAAACTAGATGCAAGAAAATTTGACAAACAGTAAAAATACAAAATAACATCAACAACTGTGTGAAGTCTCTGAATTGACAAACAAAATCAAAGAGTGGCTGAAGCAGTTTATCCATCACACGGTCGTGATCATTTATCAAGTCATAACTTGCAGGATTTGAAAGAGAATATTATTGATAGAATAAGATAAATATCAAAGTATCATCACTACATGCTTTACTGTGTGGGTAGATATTATTTCACCATGACCTACAAGTCAACTAAATAGTGCTTGGAATTTGCAGCCTAGTTTCCCCAGTCAGTGATGCAGGTCCGAGAGGTCTTTTGAATTTTATTTGTAACTTCTATTAAATTAAACTTAAAGGGATGTTAAGAGGTTTTCTTAATTTTTTATGTTTATCAGGGACACTGAGAGCATCAATTTGCTCCATTCCAATTTTCAATCAGGCATCTGTGGTTTCTGTGCTTCAACTAAAACTAAGTGTTTGATGACATCACTATTCACAAGGTCTTATATGATAAAAGCATATATTTTTTTGCAATTGGTGATGTCATCATACATTTAATTTCAGTGGAATTGTAGGAATCACAGATGCCTGATTGAAAATGGGAATGGTGCAAATTATTGATATCATAAAAACTTTAGAAAACATCTTAACAATTCCTTTAATAATTCTTTTTTGACTGCATTAGCACACAATTCTTCTAAAACAATGTCATAAAATGAATTGATTTGGTCTTATCTGACATTTTAGATTCATATTTTTATCATTAAAAGCAATGAAAATAATGACAAGCCATAACAAAATCAAAGAACTTGGCATTGGCTTGGCATTTGTATAATATTGTTGAACTTCTGAGTGATTTTTTAAATAGTTCTATCAGTAAACCAATAGCTGTTGTAGCAGATCAATACATTGATTATTTAAAGGTTAAATCCTCTGCATGGGTATTGTGGCGCCTTAATACAATTTACATGGACAAAATTTCAATGGAACAGTTTGCAAATTTTAATCTTTCACGGCAAACAAACTTCTTCAAAAATAAAATAGAGAGGCAACCAATATTTCTCCAATTCAGATTAAAAAGATACTTCATGAAAAGGACAAAGCAGACTATATCAAAAAGACTGCATGAAGTATCATAATTTGTCAAAAGGAAAATGCATAATTTACACCAAATATTCAAAAAGTTTGGCTCTCTTGCACAAATCATACTGAAACTCTTTTTACAACTATAACTAATCAGATTATTACCAGGAACTCCACCCAAAATCCCATACTGTAATTGTAATAAATCTTCATCCATATATAATTATCTAGTCATTGCAAAATTTTGAGTTTCAAAAAGTTTAGGGATACCCTCATATATTGACAAAAGATAAACTAGCAAAACTTGCTGGGTGTTTAAAATTAAATGAGAAAAGATAATCCTGTATTTTGCAATTAAGTCTAAAGTTAACAAGACATCAAAATTAAACTAGGATGAACCTATCTTTAACTATCAATTCATAAAAAATCACTTTGACATTGAGGTATAAATAATTTGCGTATAAAAAAAACTTTGATGTAATGCTCAAGTGATTTGCGTGGAACAATTAAGTAGATGAGATTGACGTCATTGACAGTGAGTAAAGACGTAACACATTATTGACAGTAAACAATACACAAATCAATAATGTAAAACGTCTCTAATAATATCTCTCTCAATATTCTCTAGTTTATATAGCCTTATATTCTTTCTATAATTATCATTGCTATACGTAATCTTCTTCAATATCATATTTCAACATTCTAATGTTCTCTTCTTTATTCAAATAATATCTGTTCAAATATTAGCCAAAATGCAGAAGGTCAGCCTTCATAGTTGACAGTAGGATAAGGTTAAGCTTAGCTTTTACAGCTACAAGATTTGTTTTTATAGATATTCTGCTACAAGTAGATATGTTAAAGGCCATTGTTCACCATTTTCGGAAGTTGATTTTGTATGAATATATGTAAACAGTCTTCAGAACTACTTCAGAATTGAATGCAAATCGTTCAATTCCTCCAAAATACTGCAAACTAAGGATTTCACTACTTATACATTCCTTATATGGCATAAATATATAAAACATTTGGTCATTTTAACTTTTAAACATTCAGTGTACACATGGATATGAAGGCTCAAATTTCGACAGTGAGATGTGAACACAATTACTGATTATCTCAGCTAAGCTAAAAAATTCCCGTTTCTGAGACTAAGAAGGTACAATTGGTCAAACAGATGGTGTATGTGTCTGTTTAAGCTTTTTATTCTCTTTTTACTTTTTAATGATCTTTCTAAAACGTCTGCAATCATTTGACATTACAATTTTTGTCAGGCTATTTTACCAAACCTTTAAAGATGAGTTTCCTTATTTTTCAGTGTCAAATTAAGCAAACTATTTGATTATTTTGTGTTTCTAATGAATTATCATGTATTCTTAATCAATATGTTCTGCATATCATTAAGAGTTTTAACCAATCATAAATATCCATGTATGTACAGTCTGGATAAATAAAAAAAAGACTTTTTGACCTTTTTTGACCGGTAACTCATTGGAATTTTGCTAGTAATTCTCTTCTAATTTAGCAAATTATGAATTTATTCAGGACATGTGAGACAAATTGGTATTTTTCCAAGTCATTAGAACACCGGTACCTTTTATTCATATAAGTTTTAGCATTTTCATTTTCATAAATGAAAAAAGGGAACCCATCTTTAACAATGAGTAATGAAAACACACTCAAAACAAATGAGCTACATTGGCACAAGAAATGTAAGATTTATGATCAAAATACATATATTTCCACACAATGATTTAATCAAATTTAATATGATCCTAATTAATATGTCTTTGAAACATTGACAGATTCAGTCATCATTTTACACTGGAATTGTTCATGGAAGTACTCTGAAAATTCACACGTTTTTCACCTTTAAAATTTTGTGAACAATTTTGTTTCATTTATGTCAGTATATCGTGGTACATTTTTCGACCAAATAATATATGTTACCAAAATTATTTCACATTGATATTTCTAGACTATCATCCTTTAAGATTTAAACATCATCTCAATATTCACATATCAGCATATAGCTCAAGATAAACTTGAACAACAAGAAAAAGCGATAGAAATCATACAAGTTGAATTTACAGATGGTACAAAAATAATCATGCATAGAATTATGAGAAAACCATTGTATTGTTGTTTTCTATTAGATTATTATATAAATATAGTTAGTCAGTACATACTCCCACTTCAAAACCTATCCTTTTATGTACTGAAAAAGAATTGATAATTGAATAATGATACAAAACAAAATAAAGCATACTTAGCACTCTTACTTAAAAAAATCCTATTTACTTACCAGTAGACATAAAAAATGGAATGCGATATTTTCCACTGAGAACACGGGCCCTTAAACTCTGTAAAGTACTTCCATCAAATGGTAGAGCACCACACACCAAAACATACAGTACTACTCCCATACTCTATAAATAGAACAGTAAACAACTAAATGAATGTAAGGGTGAATGAAAATTAAAGGAATTAAAGTATTGTAATATTTTCTGGGTGTGCTTGAAATCCTCTCTGTGTGAAGTATTGAATGATAGCATGACATTATAGGTAAGAACTGAATGTTGATAGCCTTAACTTGTGTGGCATCTTTTTTGTTGAATTGTAGTAAAAATTGACCTCAAGTCTTTATTCTGAAAGATTCTTATAGAAATTGAGCTCTATCAGTAGGTGACAAATCCCATTATGAAAAGTTTTAAAATGTTGGTAACATCAATTTTACAGACTGTTTTTTTCATATATCAGCTTAAAAATACTATGATAATCTAAATTTAAGATTAACTTTGCATCAGGCATTATTTCCTGTTTATTCCAAGGATGCAGAATTCAGATTAATTGTAACATGGTATGAACAGAATGACAGACATTGTTTTTATGTCATATTCAACAGACCATAACAAAATAAAACACATATAAATCATAATATCCCCCTGAAGAAAATTACAGTTTATGAATGAAAGTAAAACATCCATCATTTAAATTAGGCCAACATTTTTAAACATACGTTACTTCATATGAATAAGAAAGTTTCATTATTTTGCTTTGAAGTTTATCAGAGAAATTCCCATACCATGTCCATTATCATTGCCATGAAGGTAATATCTACGGCCTGTTACCCAAATTTAAGTACCAGCAAACCAAGATATTAAATTGGTGAAAACTACATATTGTGCTCAAAATGTAGTTTTTCAGAAGCCAAAATCTTCCCACACCAAATCAACACAAAACAAAACAATGGCAATAATTGGTTAAAAACAAAATTGCAAGATAACTTATGTAAGAAAATAAATCATATTTAAAGATGATTTGATGTAAGGTAAAGAAGAAATGTAATTAAAGAAAGTATTACAGAGGAGATAGGGTCAGTAGAACAGTAGATCAGCCAAATAGATTTGAACACTATAGCATCATAGTCACTAATAATTACCATCTTTTAGTCAAATCTTCAGAAACTCGAGAATTAATGAAATAAAAACCTCCCTACCGGCAACATCAGACAGGCTTCAACATTTTAAAAAAACGTTTCCTTGAGAACAAAAAATAATTTCTCACTAATGAATTGTAATTGATAGAACATAGAGAAAAGACGGTGAAAATAAAAATGTTGAAAAGGGATCTCTGTCATTGTTTTGAAGAAATATATCAAAAGTACACTTCTTGTTCAATGTTGTTGATTTGTTTCAAGAAATGTTGAACAGGGACCTCTGTCATTCTTTTGAAGAAATATATATACATTTCTAGTTCAATGTTGTTGATTTTTTTTACAGGTGAAAACAGAAATGTTGCAATGCTGGTATCAGTTGTGATAAACAAGAGGTCATGAAGCCAATTAGCCACTAAATGTCTTCAAAACAGGACACATTCAATTATACTGATATGTTTCTACCCAAGGAGAAAGCAGTCAACTTTCACTATAGTTCTAGAATGGCTACACAACTGTTCGAAAAAGGGACATTTTTGATTAAAGAACTGTAAGATGTCACCATTCAGAGCCAGTAGTAATCTTCATTATATTTGTATAAATTGTTGACTGTTCACCCGTTATCCAAGTAGTAACATAATTAAATATTAAATCTACCACAATGTATGTATTTGTATGTTGTTGATATATACATTTTTTTTCAGATTGTTATGTTAATCTTACTTACCCAAATATCTACTTTAGGAGCATCATATTCTTTGCCTTCAAATAATTCAGGAGCAGCATAGGGTGGACTACCACACCATGTTTTTAATTTACCATTTGAAGAAAAATAATTACTAAAACCAAAATCTACAAAAAAATAAAATCTTATGATAGAGCAAAAAACAGCTTACTACGTAATCTATGATTTACTGACTCGCTTATCATTACTAGAAGAAGAAAAAATTACTTTAAAGAATGACATTACCTTAGTCTTAATGATCAGAAAGAGTGCTTACAATCTTAAGATCTTGCCTCCACAGAGTTATATCACTAATTAATGCTCTTGCAGAAAATGTTTACTTTGGCTCTTATTAAAGCATTTTGAATCTAATTCCAAGCTGCAAACATAGTACCATAATGTGATGCTTGCCAAATCTTTAAATATCTATGTTATCACTCTAAATTTTGTTGGTGTATTGTTTGGAGCACTGCCATTAAGACATCCATGTCAAGTTTAACCAATTAATTTGTATTTTTTAGAATAAATTTGTGATCTATCATAAATCTTAAAAATTATCACTGAAATACAGTTGCACTGATTTGAATATTAAATGTATAAGGGACTGTGTTGCTATAAAACATAGCTTGCCAGGCAAGGTAACATGTATGCCCACTTATCAGAAATGACAACAATGTATGCCCACCTATCAGAAATGACAACAATGTCTTTAGTAGCTTCATAATGAATTTTCAACTAATCTTAAAAATATTTATAAGTTAAAGACAGTTCATCAAATGCAAACATTGACGTACATACAAGGGCAATAACTCTTGACAGATTGATCCTTTTGCTACCAATATCAAACTCTACTGAGATCTCATCGATATATCTACATGCATTCCAAGTTTCATCAAGATCAGATAAAAACTGTAGCCTCTATCACTTAATGTGTTTTTATTGATTCAAGGGCAATAACTCTCATCAGATAATTACTAATTTTGACCTTGACCGAGATTTCATCAATATATACATGCATACCAAATTTCATCAAGATAGGATAAAAACTGTAGTCTCTATCATGCCTAAAAGCCAAATATGGCGTGTTTTTACTAAGTCAAGGCCAATAAATTGTTCATCCAATTGTTACCAAATTCGAATTTGATCAAGATCTCATTAATATATACATGCATACCATGTGTATATAAATATATAAACCTAATTTTCTTTATGAATCATAAATAAGGTATATATTTATAGCTATTTTAAATAAAGAAATAATATAGACAACTAAATGAAGCTATATTAGATGGTTAACTCTAGAATTATCCCATTAAGGGGACAGATGCGCCATTTTTTTGACCAATCGTACCTTAGTCTCAGAAACAGAATTTTTTAGCGAAGCCAATCATAGTGATTACAGCACACTGAGGAAATTTGTGACTTCAAATCCATGTGTGTCCAGAATTATTTGAGTTTGAATGTTATGACTCATCAATTTTAGATACTCTATGATATATAAAAATACATGTATGGAAATAGTGAGTAAAATTCCTAGTTTGAAGTATTTCTGAAATTTTCTTACATTTCTAGTACTTTTGAAGATTATATGTATATTCAACACTCAGATAAACTCCCCAAAATGGCACACCTGTCAAATATACTATCAACAATCAGAGCTATGAAGCTATATGTGATCGTACAACACCCCTGAGCTAATTCAGCATAAATCTATCTAAGATACCTGGAGCTATATTGATGAAAATTTCTTACTTTGAGCTTTAAGCGTGTTTGACAGTAAATAGTAAATCTGAATCTTACAGCACAAATATATCACCAAAAATGTTTTATTGATGATATTCAAAAAAGATTCCATTATAATTTTGATTCCAAGCAAAAGCATGTCTTCAAAGCTTCTTAGAACAAGTCATGATTGAAACATTTCCTTTTTAAGAGAATTGAAAGGTTACAATATAAAGCCATGTATTAGCCTACAGACAAGTCTTCTATAACAACCTTTTAACAAGGCTATATTGATTGAAAATAACTTGTCTTGTAAAAAATACCTTTACATCAGCCATTCAAGGCCTCAGATGAATAGTTTTTTTCTTTCAGAATTACAGATATCAGCATATCCTGCTGAAGCACTTGGATTGACTTTTAATGTCTTAACTTCTAGATAACTATAACACATAAATTCTAAACTTGAAGTTTCTTGACGTAAACATTTTTTTATATCAAAAACTCCATAGCTTTACATTATATTCCTCAGTATGGACTAAACTTAAAGACAATTTCATAAAAATTCAGCAGCAAATGCATATGAAAAAGGGACTCCTTACCTGCTATTTTTATATTTAAATTGGCATCAAGAAGTAAATTTTCAGCTTTAAGATCTCTATGTACAACTTGTCGACTGTGACAATAAGCTACAGCAGCTACTATCTGTTTAAATTTTTTTCTAGCTTCTTTCTCATTCATTCTACCATGGGCTACTAAATGGTCTGAAAATAGAAAACACTTTTCATGAGATTTGAAGAAAAGTCATTCAGATTTTTATATGATATCGAGCTATAGATTTAACACTTCCTTAAGCATAGGACCATATAAAACCAAGTTTCACACTCTTGATACCCTTAACATTTCCACACATGCCTCTCAGGTGCCCCATGTTGGATTTGTTGGATACCAAAAAGTTATAACTTTTTTCTAGAACAGCATGCAAGACCACCATCTTAAATTTAAGTTGGGTAAGCAGTTTTGTGATATATGCCATCTAGTTCATATCTGGATTGACAACTACTGAGTTGGAACATTGATATTTTGACTTTAAGACAAAATGAGTCACCTATGGACTTTAATCCATTAAACTAAGTAAGTAATATTGAAACAGGCTTACAAGAGTTTTTCAATAGTTACTCAGTTTAATGGATATATCGTGTTATATAGAGATTTTATTCTTTTATCATGGCATCTGGTAAGTCTAACTGATGAATGTATATCTTGACCAAGAGGTAGTATTCATTTAATAATGATTGATGCATGAATTTATTTTCAATGCTCAAAAATCATACTACTTTTGAATCATACTACTTTTGAAAGTCTACAAATTTGTCAAAAGTTATTCTGGGATATATCATTAATATCTGCAGTCTGTAGCCAAGGACAGAGCAATCATTCTAAAGAACACAATTTTTTTGACAGATATGACACAAACTATTAATTAAAACTTGATAATAACAAACTAAGGCTATTTGTTTATATTGTTTGTATGAATTATAATTTTGAGACCACAAACAAACAACCATTATCTAATTATCCACTTTATAAATGTCTGAATAAATAATTAAGTTTATAAATTACTATCAGATTTGTTGCTCATGATAACCATATGTGATATATTCAATATTTTTCAAAATATATCTTCACAATAATGTAATAACTTACAGCTAAGTTCTGTTGCATTTCCTTCTTTTAATCAATAGGCCAATAGCAGTTACATTTTAAAGTTAAAATAAAAGTAAGTCAGTCATTGTAATTTCTATTAGCATTTTCTAGCAAATAGAACAACGCCGTTTTCATAAAGTTATGGAATTTCAAACAAGTAATCTGTGAATGGTACTCTAGCCTTAACCTTGTTTCAAGTATAAGTAAGATCAAGCAAAGTATGGGCTGTTTATTGCAGAAATTCTCAACCGGACAAATTAAAATCTTGTACCAATATTCATCTTGAATGCATAATAAATGCAGAGAATCTTGTAAGATCAAAATTTCAATTGATCATTTAAGAGCACCAATCTGATATGACTTGCAAATACAGATAAATCAACAGCTCTGATATCTACACAGGATAGGTTGTACGACTGTCGGATTGGGGAACCATTCTTATCTTAAACTTTTAATTTTACATAGAAAATGCTTTAAAGATCAAAATTTCAATCAGTCATTTAAGAGCACCAATCTGATATGACTGGCAAATAGAGATAAATCAACAGCTCTGATATCTACACAGGATAGTTTGTACGGCTTAGGATTGGGGAACCATTCTAATCTTAAACTTTTAATTCCTTTCATCATTTTGTGCTTTTATCGTTCCATCCTGTAAGCAAGTGGTAATGACCATTTGCAAGCTATAATTTGAAACATAATAGTCTAAATAAAGATTTGAACATAGCTTGTTCAGTAAATTTAAATTCTTGGTTAAGTCAGGTTATGTTAATTATGTGGCTTCAGGGTCAAATAGATTTAGTCAGTTGAGTTTATTAGATGTTCAATCCTTTCACAGGATTGAATGAGATTAAAATTTAATCGGAAGCAAATAAATCAAATCATTTTGCAATGTGTATGACCTGTGTGGATACATGTCATAATAACATAACATATGTATTAATTGTTAAAGTAGCTGATTGTTGTTATTTCAAATTTATTTGTTTACATCTGATAATCACCTCCCTAACAAGACAGACAGATGATGATACTAGACACCCTTACCTATCTACTGAATTATCTACTATATAATAAGTATTCATTTACAAGGTATAACTAAGCTAAACATCTTATATTCCAAACACTTTTACTGGCCATAGATTGATGCATACTGAATTATAGTCTGAGTCCCTATTTGTCAAAAAATCAAAAAATGCATTAGAAATTTCAAATGTTTAAGAAATCAAAACAAAATTTCAAGACTTCAATATGAAATATTTTTCTCCTCGTCAGAGACCTTTCCCCCCAACAAACAAAACATATTTGACATGGAGCACGTACAGAGCACCGTCTTTTAATTTCATGACAAAAATATATTACAATCATACAACTCATTACAAAATAAATTCTCTAAATACATACAATCAAAACAAATTTTTAATGAAAAATTCACGTGCAGAAAGTCGTTGACGTAGCGCTGAATGATATACAAAGCATTCCTTTGCTATTTATAACACCTTCAGAACAGTGCCCCTGTGGCTGACTAGCAACATGAGAAAACAATTCTAGTATAATTCAACCTACAAGAATTTAATATAAACTTAGATTAAACTGATCATTCATAATGATATTATTTTAAAGTTAACTTTACTAGAAAAAATTATGTAATTACAGTACATGTTATATATTGAAAATAAAGAGATTATTGTATTTTCCTTATCATTCAAATAACTGTTATGTCACATTGTACATAGTTTCTGAATAAAAAAAATCACAAAATGTCCTTTCAATTCTTTTCAATGCACTTTATATTGTCAGGGTAACCTATACATTCTCAATAATTATATAACCTTGAAATTTCCTTAATATTTTTCCGTATTCGATTATTAGGTCAAGGTTATTCAGGTCCGTTATTTCATACCCTTGACAATTTTTGTATCACTTGGCAGAGGACTTTCACCACACTCATTGATAAAACCAATTATTTCTGTGTCACAAAAGTTTCATTGAACAGAAGGTTCTACAGAAGAAACAGGTCCTTGGAAAACAATCTAATTAAAATTAGATTACAATGTTGTTTCGTTACTTTTGTAATCTAACAAGATTTGTAGAGTTGGTTTATTTCAACCAATCACAGCTTGTCATGCAGAATCCGTGCGTAAATTTTGATAAAAAAATTGTGAAGCAAACCTGAAATAGAATGATTTGATCAATCATGACTGATGATGCTTGCTTGTAAAAGTGATTCTGATTCACTTGAAAATGGTGGTGGTGATATAATTACTTTGTAGTGTCACCATTACATGACCTTGGTATAAAATAAAAACTCTTAGGCCACTGCTTAGTTAGTCTGAAGCATTCTGAACAACCTTTGATAGATTGATTAGACAGTTATCAGCAGCAAAACAGGCGTCTTTTCAACCCTTTACATCCTCCAGCCAAATGTTCACAGGTAATCATGGAAAACAGTTTGGTCAAGATCCAGTTGATGGATAAGACTCATAGAAATATAGTTACCCTTGTTAATTATGGATGTTCTGTCTATAATTGTTTTGTTACAGACGTCAAGGAAGGTCATCAATGAAAAAATATATCTTGTTGCATAGCGTGATGTGGATCTCTTGTATTTTAAATTGATATTGTTAACAGCATATAGAGTATGAAATTATCTGTCTCTCTTAAACAAACAATTTAAAACTATTTACATGATTCTCCTATTTCAATTTCATAAACCAGACAGAGTTTTTTGCATACGAATCAAGCAAAAATTGTACACATAAAAGCTTAATGAAATTGTAAGAACTAGAAATATTTTGTGTTAAAATGATGAAAATATGTCTATGATTACATTTTGAACTATCAAATTTACCACCATAAAGACATCTTTGTCTGCTGCTTAGTACCTTTTAGATCTTCCTCTACTAAAGAGTACTGATACTTTCTGATAAGGAGAGAGGGTCTGGCATTGAGCCATTAAAACATGCTCATCTTTTCCATAATCTAGAATTAACCTTTTGAAGACACTAAAATCTTATTTAATATGTTTCAGTTGAATTATATCTTTGTCAAGCATTAGCATGTTATATATTTTACAGTATTGATTATTATATAGATCTGAACTATGCTCAGTTCACAAACTCAAAGTGGCATCACGTATTCTACAGTTGTTTTTTAATAGAAGAAAATAATAAAATTTATATAGAAAACCTGTTGCTGATGATTTGTTATAAGCTTTAAGTCCATATCATAAAACTGTGTTTTAATTCGAGCTCTTGTATATAACTAGGACTGGGAGAAGAGATTTTGTTAGGGTGGCAAGGCTTGCTTCTTTTTAAGAACAACTTCGCTCTGAAACTAGGTCTGTCAACATGACATCTCATTTGGAAAGTGTTATAATGTTTATTTGGAATACATATTGTAAAAAAAAAAATTTAACAGAAGTAAATCAAACACCAAAATGAAAAGATTTTCAATTTTAAGACGAAAACATAAAAATTGACAGGTTCTAGAAACGAATTACTAGCAAAGGATGATATGATTAGAAGTGATTCCACTTAAAGACGTAAAAATACACTCAACTTTACCAGTGACAGGAAAATATAATACAATTTGTATTTCCAGTCAATAAAAGATAGCATGCCAGGCAAGGTAAAATGCGCCCACTTGCAGCTTTGATTTTGATTAAAAGTATTTGGCAGTACAGTAACAATTATCAGTATAAAATATTCAACCTTCAGTCATACACTTTTTTTTTACTTTTTGGGGCGATATTACCAAGTTTTGTCAAAATCTGTCAAGAATTGTGCCATCTAGAGTGTTGAGGAGCTAAAAAAGGCAATAACTCATACTAAATATTTTTCGGATTTTTCGGGTGATTACGAACACTCACACCAAGTTTCGTCAAAATCTGTCAAGAATTGCACCATCTATTGTGTGTACAAGCAATTGTAGACGGACCAACAGATATGGGTGACAACAATATAAGCCCCCCCATTTCATGTGTGCGTATAAAAATAACCCCAAAGGACATCAATATATAACGTTTATGAAAGTCTCAAGATGCTCTATCATTGCTTTGCAATACAATTTAAAAATGTCAAAAATTAAGAGAGCCAATACTCTATACATGGCAATTTTAAAGTATAATAGATTCCAGCCAATTTCTTCATTTCCCATGAGAATATTAGCACATTAGGAAGACTCCAAGAACAGAAAACTTGAAACATTGAAAGAAAATGATGAGTGCTTCACAGTGTGAAATGATGTTACGTCATTACTGACGTCAATGTAGAATCAATGTGAAACAATATGACCAGATTTCCCTTGAACTGTACCATTGTTAATAGACAATAAGCTTAGGGAAGTTTTATAAGGCCTTGTAGTGTCTTAATTAATTAACGAGTCTATCTCACACTGTCTAATAACAAATACCAAGAGATTTATTTCTTATCAGTTTTACTGTGAATATTATTATTATCAAGTACAAATACCACGATATATGAGGCAACACATCTATTATATATGTATTCTAATATCCTTAAATAGTATTCTTTTTCTGAATCATTTACTTCTACAACTTTTACTTTAAAATTGGAAAACTATTACATTATATCAAGTTCATAGATCATCTGTTTAATTGCGTTGAACTAGCCACACAAAGATTGGAGATCAAATTATCTTATCTTGCATTCAACAAAGTTTTTAGTAATAAAAATTTAAATTTTGAGTCTGTTATCCATCAGTATCTGACACAAACTCCTACACTGAATGTCTCAGGTAAAAAATTTTGATGCAGCATAAGAACAGATTTCATAAGCCGCGTTTAGACTGCCATAAAAACTGGCCCACTTGAAGTGAACCGTACTCGGTCCGGACTCGTCCCGGTTGGCCTGTACCGTTTACACAGCACTGTTTTCACTGGGCCAAAATCAAAAGTAGACCTGCTCTCCAGTCTGAGGAGGCGAAAAAACACAAACATACAAAATGGCACCCGCTATAAACAAAGCTATGATTTTGAAGTTTTTGTTGAATTTGTCTCGTTTAAAGCGCAAACGAACCTTAAGAATCTTTTTTTTTTGAGACACACAGCAATGAAAGTGCATGTTTGCGTGGCTAAGTGGGCCAAGTTGGCCTGGTCCAGTGGCACGTTTACACAGCACTAATATTTTGCCGTGCCATACTCGGTCCAGACCGAGACTACCTCTTCTTGCGGGACTCGGCCCACTTGAAACTAACACGGTGCCGAGCCCTCTCAACCCGTTTACACAGCCACTTTTTGTGCCGAACCGTAATCGTTGGCTGTCTAAACGCGGCTATAGAAATACTACAATTAAACCATTTTTATCAGAAGTTTTTAGGCTAGTTTTGAGTTAAATGCCCATCTGGAACAACCTGAAAGTTTCACGGTACCTTGTCCAAAATAACTTTCTTTCAGTACTGTGCTTTTTATTATTTTTTTTAAACATTTCCTCAATCTCTGCTAAAAAAACATAATAATTAAGAAATTTCTATAAATAAGATAAATTAAGTTTAATAAGTCAACTTACCAAATATTTCTCCCCCACTGGCATATTCTGTTACTAAATATAACATTCTTTCTGTTTCCATAACCTTAAATAAACCAGAGATGACGTAACATGATCTGAGTCTTTTCAGGATGTCAGAGATTGTCATACTTTACTATATAGGGTTGGGAAGATGCAAGACAAATTGTAGCATGATCCATGTTTGTATCATCATGCTAATAGTTGTCAAATTAACTATCAAATTCTAGCAGTATCAATATTTAGACTTGAACAGATTTTCATAAGTTGGTTCCTTATTTGATTCATTTATATAAATACAACCTTAATCAACACATTTTAACTTCAGGTTATACCAATACCCTCTTTAACCATTGCACAATACCAAACAGTTTTCTCTTAGTCTACTCTAGCTAAAAATACTAATAGCACAGAATAATGCAAAATGTTGAAATATTTTGTTTGAGAATATTTCGGTCACCTAAATACAGTAACAAGCACATGACATGATTTTACTTTTTGTTAATATTAAAAAAGAAAAAATTCTAAGATTTATAGCTTTCAAATCTAAATGAGGTGACCTGTACCAAATTCCACAATGTATTAAAAAGACAATGTCATGTTATGTATAAGTCATTTAGTCATGTTTAATATAAAATGTTAGTGCCCCAGATAAACTGAACCCACACTCAAACTCAAACAATAAGAAAGAAAATAAGACAGATGATTTATTGACACAAATTTCCATCTTTTGTTTGGGTTGTACTTTTTTGAACTCTCAGCGATCAATTAATTTGGAAGATCAATTAATTTCGAAGCAGACCATAGACTTAGTATGTCTACAACATACTGATCACAAACAACTGATCCAATTCCTCTAACCATGTACCAATGATCAAGTGTCAGTACAGTAATAATCAAATGTCACTGATCATGTACTAGATGTCTTGATTATGTAGCCAGTAGGGCTGCAACGATTCCTAAAGTGGCGATCCGGTACACTGAACGATACTTGTTCAACAATACGATTTATTGCGATAATAAATTGCAATTCTTTGATTAAAAGGGAAAGAAAAAGAAAACTGATAATAAATAACATTTTAACACAGTTTAAATTATTTTGGCACGCTTAGAAGTACAAAATTCACTTTTCATCATTTGTTACACACAAGGACTAACAAAATAAATAAAATACCAAACCATCAAATACAGCTTTGTAGAATTATTTTATGACTATGCAACTCATATTACGTTGGAAAAAGAAAAAGTTTATATCAGATCCCATGCATTTATCTAACACTTGGCATATTAATATGTTCTCTTTTCATCGTTTATAACAAAAATTAAAACTGTTGAAGACAAATTAACACGTGAAAAGCAATTTTTTAACATTTGAACATGACACAATTTCTAAAATATGTGAGGATTCCTTGCTATTAGTCATTACAGGGAGTTAATTACATTTATGAGAATCTGGCCGATGTATCACGATTATTTTATTCTTCCGCATTGCATCGATAAGAAGGAACGAATCGCGGTTCATCGATTCAACAGTGAATCGTTGCAGCCCTAGTAGCCAGGTTTATCAAATGGTTTATTCCCATATCGCCCCTTCTCAATTGGCCTCCACTTTATTCCCATTTTCCCGCTTCCCATTTTGCCCCTTTTTTGCATTTAACTATTCCTAATTTTTCCCTTTTTTAATTTCCTCCCTTTCCCATATATATATTTCTCCTTTTATTTTGCTCCGGTCTTATTCCCCTTTACCCCTTTTTCAAAAATCTGCCCTTTCCTATATACACCATTCTACATCAAATTATATAATATCTAATATCTACTCCTTCATTATATCTGGTGGGCTTTGTTTCAATTAAAGATGGGTTTCCTTATTTTTTTAGGTTTCCTTATTTTTTTAATGTCAAATTATTTTATTAATTGGTGTTTCTAATGAATTATCACCTATTGTACTACCTTATTGCATATAATTTAGTGTTTTAAACAAAACTTTACTTTTTCACCTTTCTTGATAGGTCACTCATTGGAATTCTGCTTATCATTTTCTTCTAATTTAGCTAATTATGAATTAATTATGGACATGTGAGACAAAATAGTATTTTTATAAATGAAAATAAGGGAAGCCATCTTTAAAATTGTTCAATAGACCAGATTGAAATATATATATAATATCAAATTATAGAGCAGCATTGTTTAACAATTTTGATACAATGAAAATAAACAGTATTGAATTTCATAATCCAATTTTAGAATATACTAAGACTTAGTAGTGCAAGGTCGCATATAGCTTTAAAATATAATATCTGTAAAGTTTATAATAAAATAAGCCTAGCCGCAAGCATACAAGACTAGAATTTTTTTAACACATTTATTTACTGGGGACAAAAGACTCATTCAAGGACACAGTAATAAAGTGAGGTTTATCTTACAACCCAATGTTTTCACCAAAAGCTAATAACTTTTTCACTTATGAGTACACTCATGCATATAGATTTCACTCAGATTACCAACAATAAGAAATCTTGATTGTTTCTATATACTACCAACTATCAACTTCAATCAACTAAAATATTTTAACTGGAAAAATCGACAATTCTAGGGGCAACTGCACACCTAGTGTGTTGGAAAATAAAACATGAAAAACTGTAGGCAAGTGCAGTCTCATCTAATGATCGTTAAAGTAGCATGTCTTCATCTGATACTTTTTCTGAAATGGCCAACTTTCTTGTTTCATGATGAGTGATTGGATTGGATTGGATTGGATTGTATTGTACACCAGCAAATACAGCCATTGAGAGCTCTAAATTTTATATCGAGTGCTCAGATTGGCTGTATTCACTAGCATACAATCCCATCAAATTGCTGCAATCACAAATTTCTGTGAAATAAGAAATTGGGCCATTGCAGTCAAGGTTTAAGATAAATTTATAATACCTTGACCATTGTCAAGATGCAGTTGTCTGTGCATTCAGGTCAACTAAATCCACCAAGTGACATGACTCTCCCAGATGCAAACACTCTGTCAACATGTGCTCCCTGTTTTCACTGATCATGAAATATATATTACTCAATAAAAGAATCTGCTTACCTGATATAAACGAATAATGTGAGGATGTTTTAATAATTTCATTATTTGTATTTCACGGTAAATTTTCTTTAAATTATCCTCATCTAGTTGTGTTTTATCTATGATCTTGATTGCTACCTGAAAAGAAAATACAAGTCAAATAAGTCGTTTAAAATCTTTTATTCCAAAATCAGCCATGATAAAGGTGATATGCAACCAACATCGGAATTATCACATCATAAAATCCAATGCTTCAAAATCATCTTATTCATAATCCAACATCGGGTTTGTCTACAATACAACAAAAAGAATCATCTGAAATCAAAATAATCAAAAGAAATGATGACAGTTTAATATGATCTTGCTTTCCAGACATTGAAATTGATAATGTAGTTATAATGGATTGGAAGACGTCATTCTGTTAACAATAGGAAAAAATATGGTAATTTACAAAAGGAGAAGAGGGGAAGGGAAGTGGGGGAGATGAGTGAAGTGGGGGAGATGAGAGAAGTCAGGGAGATGGGAGAAGAGAAGTGGGGAGGGGATGAGAGAAGAAAAGTGGGTAGGGGATGAGAGAAGAGAATTGGGGAGGGGATGAGAGAAGTGAAGTGGACAAGGGATGAGAGAAGTGAAGTGGGGAGGGGATGAGAGATGTGAAGTATGGGGGTGAAGATATGAAAAAAGAAGCAAATGAAAAAGATAGTCCAGTTGACTCATTGTATTGGCTCTTTCACATTTATACATGAGCTAAGTTTTCAAGATCCTGTTTATTGGCTGATCCTTGGCATCAACAACAAATTCCATGATTATCAATGTGTTATATTCTAGAAGATCTGATCTGTGGAACTGATCTATTCATGATCATTAATAAAGGATTCTATCAACAAGCTGCTCCTTAGTCAAAGCTCTTGATATTAGTATTTCCAGGGTCTGTAGTTTGTACATGAAAACATTTTGAAATTCTTTACATTTTTATTTATCATTCTATGCATATTTTTACTTTTTTCAGACAACTTCATATCAATGTTTCAATTTTCTTGAATCTAGTTGTTCTATAATGCATGAACTTTCTCAACAATAAACATCTAGAGTTCAAAACAAACAACAAATAGTACTTTTCCTGAGGCCATTTATCTCCCAGCACATCATGACTCATTTACTGAGATCGAGTGACAACCATCATTGTGGAGTGTAAACACCTTACAGCCAAATATTTGATACATGTTATTACATAGTTATACTAATCACATGTCAATAACAGTTCATATTCGTAAACATTATCTTATTATATCTTAATCCAATCCAAATGTCTTAAATCTGATATTTTCATTCATATTTTCTACAAATTTTTTGTTTCAGTACTCATTTTTAGCTCCCAACTTATCACAAATGTCATATTTTCATTCATATATTCTACAAATTTTGTCTTACATATCTTTTAGTCCCAAACAAACATCATGATATTTCAAACATCTTTGACACAGAATATCACACTAATGCCATGCAATGCAATCAAGACGACAGCGGTCTTAATATTTTCCGTTTTTTACTAATAATTACCAGATATAACTTATTAACAAGAACTAACGTATTCCTTGTTCTTACTTCTAACCCTAACTTGCACTTTTTAAAAACAAAGAGTCATACAATTTGCTTAGTAAGTGATGCGCTGATGTCTAGAGTTTCTATGCATAATTCAGGGAAAGGCTCCATGTAATAATAATAATAATAAAATCTTAAATAACAAGTGAAAAATTAGGCCCATGGCCTCTTTACAATTTTGCCTGAAACAAGATAACATAAAACTCAATACATATCAAAAAATATTACAGAATGGACATAATATGTGAACAATAAAATAAAAGATGTAGAAGGCTATTTGCCAACTAAAGGTATAGACATGTGGGAGGGGAAGTTAAAAAGATTGCATAAATAATTACATGTATATTTCAAATTTGGTAATGGGTGTGTATAAATTTGGATACATTTTTTCTAAAGGTTTTTATGTTGGTAGAAAATCTAATAGTAAACGGTAAAGAGTTCCATAGAGAAGGACCTGTATATTTTTAAATATTTTTAAAGAGATGATTTTTAGATTTTGATATTTTGCACCTTAAGTTAATTGATGAGTATTCTTATATATTAAGATAGTGTTAAGATATGAGGGACACTCAAAGTTTTGAGGTACTGTACATGTGCATAGAAGTAAATGCTCCTTTTTTTTGTACCATTTTTGATAATGAAAATTTTGCATACTGAAAAATTGGAGGAAGGAATAAAAATACATAGCTCTAGAGAAATTGTCATCTAATGAATAACATAAAAGTGGAAAGCGAAATTTTCTTTCATTGGTATTGGCAAGTATGTATTGAATTTTGTGTCCAAAATTCATGTTTTTTCGTGTGATGTCTTCTACAAAGAACTAAGATATTTGAAGAGATGAAAATAATTGGCAAATGTAACAAAATCATGACCAGCCAAATCATGAACAAGTGTAATGTTCCAGTGTCACAACTGTTTTTAATCAAATTTTCAATTTCCAAAGCTTACATTGATATTGTACTGAATTGCATACCATATCTACCATTTCAAGTGCCTACAATTCCTGATACCCTTTATATTAGGTGTACAGAACTTCAATGCATTATATAAGAAATATAATTCAATTGAAAGATTACATTTATTTTAAATGATGACAACTGATTCAAAATCAACCGTGAAGCAGCCAGTTCTTGAAGTAAATAGAAGGTCTAGTATTATGTACCAGAAGGTAAACAACATGTGACCATAATATCCCTTCTGTTAGCACAATGTACAACGTTGTATTATAAAACAACCGGAAACAGCTTATATCAACCTTTTCTAACGGTAAAAAAACGTGAATGGATGCCAAATCTTGTAGAGCAAGATATTAACCAATATAATACAACACAAGGACAAAATTAAGTCATTGAATCATTCTTTGCATGTATGTCAATATACCATTACATATAAGTGTATAGTATATCGTTGAAAAACAGTGATATACTCTTAACTTCAGTCAGGTGACTTTTTCACAGAAGAATATCTCAATGACAAAACTTACCTTTGTCTTTGTAACGATGTGAGTAGCTAATTTAACAACGGCAAAATTCCCCTTGCCGATTGTTCGTTCCATTTCATAATATCCAACTCTTACTGGGCCGCTTGCCCCCGAGACGGGTTTCACTCCCGTCTTCGCGGCAGCCATTTTGTTTAGACTCTCATTATTACGCATGCAATGAAGCCTCGAACTGACGTGTGCTATGTCAAGTAGAATTAGGTCAAAGTTGGTTGACCTGGTTTTTGTATCTCAATCCTTGATTGATTGATGGCAGTAGTAGCCGCAAAATGACACAATGTTTATCAAAAGAAAACACGACCACCGCCGCCAAGGTATGCGGCTTTCTTCTATTTGGCTATATATATATTTTGTGTGTAACGTGGTTTTTTCCTAATGACGAATAAAATTTAACCCGTTCAATACATCCATGCGTCAAACTATAAGTATTGCTTTAATTGACATAAAATGATTACTGCTGGCAAATAATATTCCATTTTTATAATGCAATTAAATACGAAACAACAATGTCAACAGGAATTTGTGAATCTAAGTATATTGGTTTGTATATACTAGTTTTATGGTCGACACCATAGAAGCACAGGTTATTTCCCTTGAGATATAGAATTTTGTCCGGTATATCAGTCGATCCAACATGTTTTTGTCAAGAATAAGTCAATCAAATCTTTACTGTAGTGGATCCAGATTGAAAGAAACATTGCCATACAAGCATTTTGCTTGAATTATCTCATCGTAAGATTTAAAAGATTTTAAACATGGTCAAGATTGTTTACATCTGTTCTAGTTCGTAAGTCGTAATTAATAAATGAAGTACTCATACAAAAACAATTTTTTTTTCATATCCTCTGGACACTAAATAACGAAAAAAAAAAATTCTCGGGTAAATGGCCTCAACCCAGTTTTTTCTATGATTCCCCTCTCAAGTAGAATGAGCCACTGGTCTACGGAATATTCCACCTGGTTTCCCCCTATCGCTATCAGTGATGCATAATCGGTCGGACAATAAACCGATTGTCACATCCGACCATACCTTTGAAAGTTGGAGATCGTAAAAAAGACGCGAAGTTCTGTTTACAACTATTGTTTTTACAGGCTATTTTGAAATGTTTTTGACGATATTGATTTTACGAATATTCCACTAACCACAAAAGTTCACGGCCGCGGTCAACATTTCACAAAAATCAGTGTATGGAGTAAAACTTTTCCTGTTTACCATTGTTCAGATATCAAAATTCCAAGTATACAACTATAACAAGGTATACGAGAGTTAAATTATAACAGTTATGTTATACTAGTATTTAAATATACCAATTACGGTATACGAAAGTTAAAATATCTCATACTAGTATCAAAATATAACAATAACGGTATAGTCTAGTCGGTATACGAGTGTCAGCATATAACATGGGTGTTAAAATATTCCAATGACGGTATACAAGTGTTAAAATATAACAATCACGACATACGGGTGTTGAAATATAACAAGTATGTTAATATATAGTTGATGTAATTAAATCGATCGTATAAAAATTTGACATATTTGAATAGAAAGTGATCGCATTAATTGATGAAATAAGGTCCTAATGACATTTTCTAGATCCCTAGGTCAGACAATTTTACACCTTCAATAATATGACGAAGATAGGATTTCTAGCTATTAACACCTGATACTAACGTCATTGTGACGTCACGACCATTTCTTCATAGGGAGATTTTATAATTTGATATAGATGACGAATGGATTGGAAACGACTCGATAATACCCAGTAACCCACTGACCGAATGATCTTATTTTATCATCACACAAATTTATCGATCTGAACATGGATGGGGATTTAAGGCTTGGTTGACTACCATTAAAAAGTCACTTGGGATGTTAACAAGATTGTTGTGTGACGTCAATAACCATGTGGCTGTCTACCAGTGGGCGTTGTACTGTCTATGGCCTTCAAATTATAAATATATTTCCACTGAAATGTGTACATATGCCAAATTAAGCAAGAGAGCTTCAGGAAAGAATTACTGCAGTTTGAGATAATGAAATCATAATGTTTTACTACACTACTTAATTTCATTATAGCTCGATACCCTGTGGAATTATTATGTAGAAATATAGATTTTACCGTATCTTCCCGAGTCCTTAAATATATACTCATTGTCATGTATTCCCCTGAGAGGTAATATATATATATATAGGCTAGGGATACAATTATGTTATTATGCTGAAAAACATAAATCAGGAGAACAATGGATATTCAGACTCTCAAAACCTACTGTAAAAAGGAAATTCAGATTACAAAAATAGTTTCAAAATTTCTTTGATAGTTTGTCTACAAGTAAATAAAAACGAAACATTGTTACAGATGCCGTTAGTCATTTTGGCTTGTAGAATGCTATTGCCGATTAAGTCTTCACATGAAATACAGGAGAATGATAATATGTTTATTAATTGTAAACAAGCCCAGTTTCAGATTTTCATGCTGAAAATATATCAAGACGGTTGCAAGTATATTATTTACTCAACTTTCCGATTTAAAGAGCAAACGTAGGTTCGACAACAATTTCAAACAGTCCACAGTCCTGAGCGGAACATCCCAATAAAATGGTTCTTCGTTTTTCTGCAAAGATCGAGGTTGGTGAACTTTCTTTTGCGGAGATCCGTGGATCCAATTCTAAGTAAGTTAGGCTTGAAATCACGTAGGCCCGCATATATATATTTGTATATGTGCGGGTCTACGTGATTTCAACAGAAAATAATTATGAACTGAAAGTTACATCAGAATCGATATCTGGAATTTTACTTTTTACACGACATCCTTTTTTTTCTTTTTCTCGTTGATCAATGGTTTTGATATGCTTGAATGGTTTTTCTAATAATTCCGATAGAATTTTATTTGAACCAAACTAAAAACTCCAATTAGACTCTTTTCAAGTTTCATTGACGTCATATTTGACGTCAGTTTGGAAATCTATGCACGCGCTAGGAACATGAGGGTGTATTCTCTATCGATTTCAAAGAAAAAGTGAGAAAATGCATGACCGAGAGGATTTCTTTCCAAATTTAAAAGAACCCATCAATTTTTATAATCTGTTATGTTAATACAACCGATGCTTATATTCTACGTTTTAAATCCACGATTCTGTTATAGGCTACAGTAGGATATTGGATTATTATCTAATGCAAAATACTGATAACTACAGTGTATAAATTCAGCTTAGAGTTTGCTTTTTAAACCTTGGGATAACTGTCAAATTTACAGGAATGAAAAGAGATATTACAAATTATCGTAAATCTTCATGGGTTATATAATCAACACCACCATCACCCCACCGAAATCATTATATTATTTGATTTCTTGCTTACAACCTAAAGCCCTGATCCCAACCTGGGCTGTTTTAATCCCATGGGGGTGTGGGACTGGGGTGTCGGGGTGTCAACTGTTGTAGGAGAAGTTCTTTTGGGGGAAATTATATGGTTCCAAAGAAAAACAGCAACAGCCTTCCCACTGAGCATCTTATTGTGGCCGCATGATTATATATTATGTGCGATTATTATGATTAGTTTGAACAATTAAATTTAGAAGAGTTCTTGGCACATTTAGAACTTGTTGAAATTGTTCAGATTCACCAAAGAATGAACGGTAACCGAGATAATCATAAAAACAAAATATAAAAAATAAATATTTAAAGGGAAAGTATTATTTTAAGCCACTTGGAAAATTTTGTTTGCTCAAATTTATAATAATAACTATCGGTAAACGAAAAACTACGAAAGCCTTTTAGGCCCATCTAAAAAATGTTTTTTTTTATTTTTCTGAATGTAGGGCCTATTTTGCACAATTAGAAATACCGGATTCGACAAGTCGAAATTTCGGATTCCAAAAGTCGAAATTTCGGATTCCATAACTCGAAATTTCGGATTCCACAACTCGAAATTTCGCATTTTAACGCAGTCTTGCTGAAATTCACTAGTATAGTTATTCTTAATTTGAGGCAAGTGTTTGTGATGAATGTTGGAAAGAATATAGTACGGGATCTTTTCCATCAAGATTTGGGTTACAGAGAAATTAGATTTGTTGCCTCAGGAATATTAAGCGTTTTAACCAATTGAACAAATTGCCATGGGCAATAACTCAAAAACTGTTCACAAAAAATGGTATTCAGAAAAAAATAATTAAAAGATATATTTGTCAAACCTTTTGAAGAACTCGAAATTTCGACTTGTGGAATGCGAACCGATATTTCGAGTTGTGGAATCCGAAATTTTGAGTTGTGCAAAATACATTCAGAAAAATAGAATTAGAATTATTTTTTTAAGATGGGCCTAAAAGGCTTTCGTAAAAAACTAGAGAAATGTGTCTCATTACTTATCTGAAAGTTTTAACTTTAAGTATCCCGCCATCAATTTTAGAACGCCAAAGCAAGTTAAAAGGTTTACGTAAACACCTTAACCTCTTTGGTTGGTATGGGAAAACTAATATACGAGTTTTAGCAAAATAAACGCCAAATTGTAGAGAAATGTGTCTCTTACTTACTCTGAAGGTTTCAACAAAAACTTCGAGACATTATGAAGCCAAAATAAGTCAAACTGCTTAGTGCGCTCCATTTATAATTAACGCGTTCAATTTTGAGCTTGTAAACGCTCTAGAAGGTTCAATTATTGACAGATTTTAACGAAACTTGGTGTGAGTGTTTTTTTGTCACCTAAGGATGAGCCCTATCGAAAATCAGAAAAATCAGAAAATACTTAGTATAAGTTATTGCCCTTGTTCTTAAAAACGCGTTCAAGTTTTACTCTGTAAACACTCTAGAAGGCCTAATTCTTGACAGATTTTGATGAATCTTGGTAATATATTTCAGTATGGCCTCAAAATGTTCAAACGAAGTGAATGTCTGAAGGTTGAATATTTCATACTGGTGATTGTTACTGTACTGCCAAATATTTTTATTTAAAATCAAATCAAAATTTCAATATGTTTTTTTCTTGCCAAGCAAGCTATCATTTGACTCACAAATGCATTACATGTACGAGGTTCTTTTATTTAATATTATGTTGCAGTTTCCAAATACAGTGAAACAAAAAAGCCATTAGATGAAAGTGTGCTGGCGAAATTGAGCTCATTGCTTTTTGATGCGAGTTCTAACAGAAAAGATCTAGATCTAGCAAAATTAAATTTCTTTTCAGACATGAAAAGGTCCTTTCATTATCTACATCAAACAGCCGACGAAGATTTCTGAATCGTTTCTATGAAGCATGAGAAAAAGACAATCCAAGTGCCAAATCCAATCCGATCAACAGGAAGTAGAACTATTCAGTATGGCGGCCTAAAAGCATTATTTTCCCAACGTTTTCTCGATGTAATACTTTCTTCACACACACAATACCATAACAAATATATTATCATGGCTTTGACAGAGGTGAGCTACTCAGTTCATTGTGTTTGTAAATTTTCTAACAGAACCTCAAAAAATTATATAAATTTTGAATCATTAGGCTTATGTGTAAACATGTTTGCATTTGCCTATAAGTTTTGTATGAATTGAAATATTAAGTCTAAAATAGCCTTATTTTGAAATATAACTAGGGAGAACTTTCAGTCTGAAATGGGGTCAGGAATTTCAGGAAGCAAGTAAAATTTATTATCATCTAACCTTCAGAAAAGAAATTGATCTTATAGTTCTATGTCCCTTACAGTGGTGTAACCTATTTTCGTGGATATAAGAATTCAACACCAAATTTCTTCAAAGATAAAAAAAAACGGAATTTATTTTTTATGTCTTAGATGTTTCCTCAGATATTCTACAAAATGAATCGTTCACTTTGACCCATATTTCATGAGCAACCAACTCGGCAACGGCGGCAGAATGCATCACCTATTTTCGTGTACAATGTTTGATCTATAAATAAGTCTAGAAAAACACGTTGTATGGATACCGGGTGGTATAATTAACTTCTCTTAGTATTCATCTATAATATCAATTCATTATAACTAGTGACAATTCCTTCAAAGAACCACGATAAAAAAAAAATAGTTACTGACAAAATCAGATACGTAGCGTGATTTATTGCTAAAAGTCACTGAAACAACATAAGAATATGGTCCACTTTGTGTTCCATAGAAATTTTCTGCTGACACAGAATCCGCTTGTTGATCACATGACTTCATTCTAGCAGACGACACTTGGAATTCCGATTACCGCTTGGGATTATAAGGAAATTCGGCCGATAAAAAATGGTGACGTTTGGTAATAAGTGAAATCCGCCATTTTGTATTTGTCAAAGTATACATTAATACATTTTACCTTGGATTAAACTAATGGATTCATTCTACTAGCTGATATTGTAGAGAAAACCCATGTTTATCAAAACAAGCAAATGCGGAGGTCACGCGAGGTCGCACATGTAAATTATTAATTCTTTCCGGAAATCCACGAATAATAGGTTTCCACGAAATTAGGTTACTTGACTGTATATGTCATTCTTAGACATGGTATGGAATTGAAAATTTGAATTTGCTGGATTATTTTTTACTTATTTTTAACTTTCAGGATGTCCAGAAGCATTCAGTTCATACACTGGTATTTAGATCACTGAAACGTACACATGACATGTTTTTATCTGACCAAGGCAACCTGCCTCCCCTTGATGATAAAAGGTTTGTTTGATTTTTTGTGTTAAGAGTGAAGAAGTTCCTAAAAACTTCTATGTAAAGCACTGGCCAAGGTCACAAATAAAGAGATAAATGTTCAATAAAAGATAAGGTGAAGTTAGCATAGTTAGTATTAAGTTGAAAAAACAACCACGAGTTTTTGTGTAAGGCTAATTTGTTATAAGTGAAAACCATAAATGTCATGTTTGAGAAAATTTGATTTTTTTGTTTTCTTGCTAAATGATATTGATATATATTATATTTTGTGCTTTGAATATTTCTTACAGTGAAGTGATAAAAAGAATGACAAAAGCAAAATCAGAATATGGACCAGTGTTAGATTTACCAAAACAAACATCAAATAAAGAACAAAATAAAACAGAATCAGAAGACTCACATTGGCACAGTATGTTTTTTTTTTTTCATTGTATCCTTTTTTATTACCAGTATGGCTTTTAACTGATTTTAATTGTTACTTAAATTTCTTCAGGATATCAAAAGTCTGCTGAATCCTGAATGTCAATTAAAATTACATGGGTTCCATCCTCATTTAAAATACCTCTTATTTGATTATTTCAGATGAAGATAATAGTGGTAGTTCAGGAATGGAGTTAACACCATATGAAACACCTAGATCTAATGTCACTGAAAAGAATCCAAGTTCTAAGGTTTATATCAATTTCAAGATATATTACAGCAGAAAAAACTTATTTCAATTGATAGCTAGAGAATGATTGTAAAGGACATATATTTATATATTTGTTTATATTCCAGTCTTTGGTGTCAGTAACAGTTGGACAACAACAAATGCTGGTACCAAGAAAAGCTCAAACTATGCCCAAACCCAGTTGGCATCCACCATGGAAATTATACAGGGTAAGAATAAAATCTCATATTAATGTAAATGATATATATCTTGTCAGTAAATTATGTCATTGTTAATAGTAGCCTACATCTATAAAACTTTCTGCCTCTTACCAGCTTCAAACATATTTTTTTGAAAAGTCTTTGATTATTTGTACAGTTTTTAACTCCACAGCTGATAACCTTCAAAAATCTCTATCAAAGGCTGGTAGCAAGTTTCAAATGAATTGAAAGTAGCAATTCCCTTTCAAGAGTAGTTTTATGTATGATATTAGACTGTTTTATACTCCTGAATTGCCTTTCACTATAAAGTAAATTAGTCATTTTACAAATCATAATGAAATTAAAAATTTTAGGTAATTAGTGGTCATTTAGGATGGGTAAGATGTATAGCTGTAGAACCAGCTAATGAATGGTTTGTGACTGGAGCTGGTGATAGAGTTATCAAGGTACTAATTATAAACTTATTATAACAAACTCTCGATATCAAAAAAAAAAGGAAAATACAACAATTAAGTGCTCAAGCAAAATTCAAATTGTATCTGATGGAAGAATAGTATTTGTCATTCATTGATTGTTTGCATAGTTAGATGTAACTTTCAGTATTAAACTTAATTCCTTTACATGCTGCAGTGCTGTACTGGTTTACTTTTGGTAAAGTTCTTAAAAGGTATAAGTAGAGATAAGATAATTATGCATTAGAAATCTTTCTCACAGCTTTTGATTTGAATTGGAAACCATGTATGTTTTTCTTATTCTATAGATATGGGATTTAGCAACTGGTACATTGAAGTTATCATTAACTGGTCATATAAGTACAGTACGTGGTGTTGCAGTCAGTGCTAGAAATCCCTACCTTTTCTCTTGTGGGGAAGATAAACAAGTTAAATGCTGGGATTTAGAGTATAACAAGGTATTTTAATAAATTGTCTTGCAGGTTTTAGTTTTACTACAGTAAAGTTGACCCTTGTAATTACTGAGAGTGTTAGCAAATTGCTCTCATTGTACACTGCATGATGTTGATAAATGTTTTTATGACAGAGCTCAGTTTCGTTTTTAATTCTATAATTCCATTTTTTTTGTTACCACTTATTCCATAACTTTTCTAGGTCATTCGACATTTTCATGGTCATTTAAGTGCTGTACATACATTAGATCTACATCCTACTATTGATATATTAGCTAGCGCTGGTCGAGATGCTACAATTAGGGTAGGATTTTACATTCTAATTCTTGGCGTTTTTATTCCAACAATATCCTGATTTAATTGAATAATGAATGTTCCTTACTTGATTATTCATAGATTATAGTTTTTGTTGTGGCTGTGTTGAGAACTTACTGTGTACCATCCTCTTAAAATTGCATTATTATGGTGCTATAATTGATCTCCAATAAGCAACTTTTTTTAGTGTAATGGTGTTGGTTTTTGCTTATCCTTCAAATTGCTTTTGATCATTTGCTCTTTGTCAAAAGCAATGGAAAGAACCATTTACTGGATAAGTATCAGTAGCTTCTTTTTTTCTCAACATAAGATCAATACTAATTTTAAATGGTTGTTCCTTTTAGGTATGGGATATAAGAACTAAAGCTTGTGTTCATACAATGTCAGGGCACACTAATACTGTAGCTGTTGTTAAATGTCAAAGTGCTGAACCACAGGTACTAATAATTGTTATACATGTATTTGTAAATATATATATTGATATTCTAAAATAGCATAGCCTTGCCATATATGAGTTACATGTAGGGCATAATTCATCTTAGATATTCAGAAATATATTTCGACATTAGCCCAAAAAAGCAAATTTAGATGAATTGTCAAATGCAGCAAATTACCTCTATTTGTTTTAACCATGACCATTCTCATGAGTGAATTCCCTCAGTGCATTGAAATTGGATTCAGATCTCTGAAGGAATTGTAAATAGAGTTACATTTAACATATGTCTTTTATTATTCTAGATTATATCTGGAAGTCATGATTGTACTGTAAGATTATGGGATTTAGCTGCTGGTAGAACAAGAGTTACTCTCACTAATCATAAGAAAAGTGTTCGAGCAGCTGCACTTCATCCTAAGCAGTAGGTTCAGTTTAGATTTTATAGATTTTAGGTTCAATGTAGTTTAAAATTTCTTTGTATTCGTTTGGTTAGTTCTGCACGTTTTGGGGTTTATGTAAAAAGAGATATTAAACAAGTTGGAACAGAGTTCTATTAGTGCCCGAAAAATGGCAGAGAAGAAAATAGATGATATAATTTTGAATGCGACATATCTGCTTTCATACCGATTGATTGGGGGAAGTACAGGACCAAACAGAACTTAAGATCTACACAAATGAACGCAATCCTAATGATCTGTTTCTGCTGAATAAATAATGAGTTATGTCCCATATTTGACTTTTAATTTTAGTGTGACTATGATATATACCAACCGTGTCATTTTTTTTGTCGGAAGAATATTTTCAGCATTGCTATGCTGTAATTAATTATCCATTTTTTTTTACTTATTTCAGGTATAGCTTTGCCAGTGCCTCACCAGACAATATTAAACAGTGGAAATTTCCTGAAGGCAACTTCTTACAGAATTTAACTGGACATAATGCTATAGTTAATACCTTGGCTTTAAATTCAGATGGTGTTTTAGTGTCTGGAGGTAGGCTACATATGCGATTCTTTCTTAATCATGAACATGAAATTTCTCTTGGTAACTCTTTCAATGTGCATTAAAATGTTAAGTAAGTGTAGCTAGAAATCTATTTTTTATGGTTTTCAACACTCAAACATAGTTGAAGTAAATTGAATGGTGCCAATTAACAATTGAATGGTAAGTGACTACAGTGCCATGATATATTATTATACTGTTTTCAGCTGATAATGGTACCATGCATTTCTGGGATTGGAGAACAGGTTATAATTTCCAGAGATTACAGGGAATGGCACAACCTGGTTCTATTGATTCTGAAGCTGGTATCTTTGCTTTATGTTATGATTTAAGTGGAAGTAGATTGATAACTGGAGAAGCTGATAAAACTATTAAGATTTATAAAGAAGATGAATCAGCTGTAAGTTTACCCCTTAAAATTTATTACTCAAACAAGTTACTTTACCTCCTATAATCAACATTATTTGTATGTGAATTTGCCTTCATTTCACAGCCACACAAAGTCTTAATATTGTCTGTGGTTACTGCAATTCCACTAAAACTATATTTTTGATGATGTCATTAATCACGAAAAATGTATTATCACATAAAGCCTTTTGTAATTAATGACATCATGAAACATGTTATCATTAAAATTTTAAATTTGTTAAGAGCTGTGTTAACATGTCATTCCTGTTTTATTTATTTTTAGACTGAAGAAAGTCATCCAGTTAATTGGAGAGCTGATATTCTTAAAAAGAAGAGATATTAGAGCATTTTTATGGATTCTAGATAACAGCATGAACTTGTCAATTTAAACGTATTGCCAATAACTTGATGTATGTTATAATGTGAAATACGTTCACAATCATATGTAAATAAACCATTATCATATTGTAATTCTTTTATTTGTCTTATTTTAACTTAAGTAATTAAAAAAGATTATAAATGTCCTTGGAAATATACAACGGACATTTGGATATCTCAATACTATTCAATTAATATTTTTATAACCCTTTTGGTCCCTTTGTCAATGACTCTCGACCCGGGAGGGTAAAGAACACATCTGAAGGTCCATAGGAGTTAAATAGGATATTAAGAGTATTGGACGATTTCAGGAGTAGCAGACAAAACGTGTTTTATAAGTTGCTGGGACACGTCAATCTGATTAAAATGCAAATCTAGATGTTTCGTTTCATTTTTTTTTTGTTCACAGAAAAAGCATGGAATAAAACATCCAGATTTGCATTTCTTTCAGATGGGTAGCCATGGACATGCCATTTGTATTTCGGGTTTAACAGTGTCACATATTTGGGGCTGGGAAAGTGTCTATAAGACAGACTTAAATAGACATTTCTTTGAAATAAGAAGAATAGTCATTAAAATTCAAGGTAAAATGCTTTATTTGAAATATCCATGATCCTTATAAGCTTGATGTAAAACATCATTTTCTTTTACAGTATAATGTAAAGTTTTATTTTCATAATATTGACTGTCCATCTCAATATTTTCAATGATAGAATCCAGGAGATGGGCTCTAAGTACATCTGTCCCTGGTGCATCAAATTTTAAATTTGAAAAATGAACATGCAAATGATAATATGAAGGTTGATAATGAACATAAATTCTCAGTTTTGAAACAGGAATGTTAAATTCTTTTTCAATAGCTTCTGTCCCTGATTTAAGAATATTTTTGAGAAGTGGTAAAGATTCTTTGTTTAGATCCCTTAAGGATTTGATATGATTATGAGTGATTGCCACTAAATATAAGCTGTCTAAATCCTTACGATTCCATTTCAAATCTGGAAGTAGAATAAATCCATTCACAGGATCTGGATCCTCAAAAACTATACGTTCTGATTCACATTTTTTCTCCAGAATATTATACACCCATTGTATACTGAATTGATTTTTTTCTAGACATTGTTTTGTGACATTTTCATACAGATCTTTGGTCTCCCTTACTACATACATGTCCTGTTCTGAATATTTGATCACATGTTTCTCAGTAGCTGGATAAATCATGGTGGTTTTATAATCTGGAAAGTTTGTTGGAGGAAATGCTTCATAAGTGCTATAAATATCATTATTCAAAGTTTGGTGCATCGTAGAGGAGCTCATCAAGTTAGCAACAGTTTCCTTGTCAAAAGGCAGCTTCTCTAGAAGCACTACAGCATCGCCATCTTTGCCATTAAATTTCCCTTTAAGAGTCATCAACTTTGCTTTAGTATCTTCTCTCAAAACGGATGTTGTGGTAAAATCTTTAAAGAAAAGACCTCTTTCGTCTTCATCTCCAGCTCCATCTGCATTCCCTCTTTCTGGAAGATCGGTCAACTTTTGTCGTTTAGGGTTTGAGCCATTTTCTTCTATACTTGCCATTTTAAGGCTAGTCACAGAGCTATACAACAAAGGAATATTCGAATAACTTGAAACGACGCTAAAATATCCAAATATCGAGCGCAAAAAGTTTATGTGAAAGAGTTTCCTGTTTACTACTCTTCAGCTTAGAAGACGTGTACAGTATATGTACGGATTGGAATAGGCACTTTGAACTGATTCAGATACGAAGTTCTATCCAATAAATTATATAAGAGAGATAACTCATCGGTTCTATCTAACTCATCGGTTCTATCTCCTTAAATCGTGAAATAATCAAAGTATGTCAAATTTACTTTTATTTGACATTATGATTTTGAGCTTATTGATAGATCTAAATGGGTTTTGAAATAGTTATTTGTCGAGAAAATCGAGAGCTCTTTAATTTAGGAGGAGAAAAAGATATATCATGGATTTATGGCTGCCAATATATTTTTTGTGAATAATTTGAATTAGGCTAATTGGCAACCAGAATTTGGCTTAATGACCTTATGTCAATCATATAACCACCACTTCTGCTTAAGTTGTGTCACAGCAAAGTGAACATATGCATTTTGCCGTGTAAATAGCCACTGAGAATATTGTATTATTCGTTTCAAATTCAATGCATTGGCATTAGGCTACTCCACACTGTCACACCTACTACACTCCTACAGACACAGTCATCAACTTAATCAACATTACAACAATCTTTAAAAATTGAATTGAAATAAACCTCTGTGCAGCTCAAACTAAACTGTGCAAACACTAAGCCTAGCAGGTACACTTCCTATTTACTTACATGACATGACATAGCCTGCCCTATTTGTAGGCTACCCCACACATTGAAGGACAGAAAAAACTTAAATTTCTTGAACTTTTTATAATTTATAGGTGCAAACATTAATGTATTATTTGAATATTGAACCAATTCAAAAGCAATGAGTCAGTCAGATGTTTCAAGCCAGTTCTTTAAAAAAAAAAGTAGCCTACATGTTAACCCTACCCAGAGTTTGAGACAAGATTAAAGATATATCAACTGGAAATGACTTGATTATTTATTCCCATTTCATTGTAGTGTTGATTTACAGAAGAGGACAATGACAGAACTTGCCTATGAAGCATCAGATGAAGCATCTGAGAATGAGCTATTGGATAAAAGTTTATCTGTTTGGAGGGGATGGAACTCTAGTATTTTAGAGGATGATTTTTCTCCTGTTAAAATTGATATACATACAGCATCAAGTATTGGTCAATATGAGTCTGTTAAATCACTTATCAATAAGTAAGACTTAGTATTTTCTAAGGTTAAGACAAAATGTGTCAAATTATGGAGTCAGTTTATATCATGTGTTTCATGAATGGAATAGTTTGTTCTTCTAAGGAAGACAACTGAGAGAACTTTTCTATACAAACATATATTATAAGCTTAATAGTTACTCTATTTAAGAAAAATATTATTGCAGAAGGCTGAGGGTTTTTAATCATATTACAAAGGTGTAAAATAACAATGTTAAGAAATTTTTATTTGTAGGCATGATGTAGATATTGATAAGAGAAATCGGGGTGGTTGGACTCCATTAATGTATGCTAGCTATATTGGTCATGATGCTATTGCTAAATTATTGATAGATGCTGAATGTGATCTCAATATGAAGAATAATAAGGGACAAACACCATTAATGTTAGCTGCTAGTTGTGGAAATGAAGGGGTTGGTCATATTCTTGTCAAGGTATATCATCTAATAGTTTTCCTGAAATTATCATTAGAGTTGTTCAATTCATGATTACTCTAGTTTTAAGATGTAGAATAAGCACTTATTATTTAGCAGTCCACTGGTTAAACAAATCAGCCATTTCTGCCTTAAATATGCCTTAGATATGCACCATTAATTAATTTTATTCCCCTTTCTATAAACATTTTTATTTTCTTACACTTATTATTTTACTTTCACAGCAAGAGGCAGAAATTGAATCAATAGACAAAAAAGGTTGGACAGCTTTGTTCCATGCAACTAATTCAGGACATCAGAATTTTGTTCGATTTCTACTGAGTTCTGGTGCCAATATGGATGCTGTGTAAGTACAATTTCGAAGTATGTATTATATTAAAGACCATAGAGATCCTAAAAATCTATCTTTTGAGCTAATAATTATCAGGATGCTATTTCTGGATGCTTCATGATAAACAGTTATACAGTAAAATATTTTGACAGCCAAAAAAATTGTCAGATTTGATTAAAAAGTGTTCTAACACTACAATCATTACTCCTCATTTAAGAGCTCCAATCTGGTTAAGCATTATAAGTTATTCTGTTTCAGGGTTCCCTCAACTGGTGTAACACCTTTGATGGAGGCTGCTGCTGAAGGTCATGAAATTATCGTACAATTATTCCTTCAATATGTAAGTCCTAAACTTTTTATTGTAGGCAAATTACAAAATGTACTGCCGACTGTTAAAAGTCAACTAGATTTGTCCAGTACTGTATAATTAGAAATATAATGTGCACTGAGTGAAATGATCTCTGTCACAGTATAAAATATGCACCCTGGATCGATAAAAAATACACCACAATATTGAGTGCTGATATCACATATTCCATGACTTTTTATTGCATGTTCTTTAAAGTAAATTTTTATACTTAAAATATTCTTGACTAGCAAATACAATTCAAAGATGTTAGAAATCTTACAATGATTATGTTGTTTATAGGGAGTCAATGTAAATGTCAGATCATATAATGGTGATAATGCTAGATCTGTAGCTTTAATCAATGGCTATATGAAGATAGTGAGTCTAATAGATAATCACCTGATGCCAATATCATCATTGAGAATAGAACAAAGTGAGTAACATAGCTTTATAGATCTACACATGACATTTTTGCCTGAATCTAAATGCCATGTGGAGAGTAATATTGTTAGTATACTGCAGGCCTAGATTGAATTATGGTCACATGGCAGGAATTACTCTTTAACAGTTGGTTCCAAATTGTGCCAATATTTCTTTGTAGAACTACTGCACATCATACAAGCTAGTCTACATTACAATTTAAGAATATTTAAAAAGATACTTTTTTGATAGTTTTATTGATTATGAATGTATGTTTGTGTATTAAAGTTGATTTTAGTTCATCTGATGAAATGATACGAAGACCTAGACCACAAATTATTAAAGGTACAAAGGCTAAATATAAAGGTTAGTCTCATGAACAGATGATTATTTGACATTTCCATGAGCAAAATTTTAATGATCCAAATGACTTTTGTCAAAGTTTACCTATATAATGTTATAAATTTGACTGAATGATATTGTCAATTATATGTACGGTATATGAATTTTTAGGTGTTGGACCCAGTATAAGAGATGGCCCAGATGCTATAGCTAAATTAATAGATAGATCTAAAGTAAACACGAACCATATACCTAGTGAGTATAGATTTAACCTCAGAATTCATTAGCTGATTAACTTTAATTGCACTCATATAATGTAGTCAAATTCAATAGATTTGTACTCAAAGAGATATTAATGCTGATATGTAGCATAAACACATATGGGTATTGATTTTGTGGTATTCATGTCCTTTTCTTTTAATAAGCTTCCTGTGTACCAAAGGGGTATGTGACATTCCCACAATGTTTAGGAGATCAAGGGGAGGATACTCAGATATCCTATAGAGATGTTACTTCACCTATAAATCCAGAAGATTATACTCTAGATAGTTCAGGCGGTAAAGGTTAGTTTTGATTCTTTTCATAATTTTAAATTTAGAAAGGAAACCGTTTTTCCAGGTTTGGTTAATAGGTTTGCATCAAATATATGAAAATCCAGGATATTTTATTTGCAGCAATCAGATTTTTGAAAGATATAATTGAATGTAAACTGCTTGTGTTATTTCAGATTCATATGAAAATGAAGAGGACTCAAATGCATTTTCTAAAACTGGTGCTATCACTATAAAAAGTAGCTCCAGTTCCAGTGGAGGCCTTGTTGCAGCATTAGGCCTCAGTCGTGATAACAGTTTAGAAAGCGATGATTGTCCTAGTAAAAATAAACTTGACCTGAAACAAACAGTGAATACACAATATAGTAGTGGTGACGAAGTCAACAATAAAGCAGATGATCCTTTAAACCAGCTTGTGAGTGGCATCCAAGAATTGGCTATGCAATGTAACAAAAGAGATTCTGCTAATTTAGTGCCAGCCAGTAATGATGGAAGTCTTAAGACACATCTGAATCATTTACCAATAGATTCCAGAGATTCTGGAATTTCGGGAAATGACGGTGATGATTTCAGTGGCATTTCACTCCACATGTTACGAATATCTGGGCAAACGTGTATTCCAGTGTATGGTGGAAATTATTCTACAAATCAAACAGAAACCAACACTGGTTCAATAGATGATCGTACCTTTCCTCAGTTCCCTGGCCAGCAGATTATACCACCAAACTATCCACATGACTTATCTACGCTTCTAGAAAATCATGGACTTTCTAAATATTTACCTATATTTGAAGAACAAGATGTAGATTTAACTGTATTTCTATCTCTAACTGATAATGATCTTAAAGAAATAGGTATCAAGTGAGTATATTTTAATATTTGAAAACTCACAGTTGAATAGAAAAGGATATAGGCCCTTATTATGTGTACTCTGACATCCGATGGGTCTGAAAAAATATGACAGATCATGTCTTTCTTTTACCAGTTTCTGGCCTTTGATTTTATCTATTTAACTCATACTACTAATTGAAATGAAAATCCGACATCTGGTTAGACTGAAATCTAAAATTTATCAGTAATATCTGCTTGGGAAATTGATACTAACAGTGTGTAAACTGAGACTAAAATCCTTTCAGGTTATTTGGACCAAGAAAAAAGATGACTAATGCTATAGCTAGATGGCACAGTAATGCTCCTGTTTCTTCAACTGGTCCTGAGAGAGTGTATGCTGACAGGTTAGAGGGTGAAATGCAAGAAATGGCTATACAACTGAGTCAGGTATGAAATATTATTTGGTTGATCTATTCTTGAAGTGAGGATTAGATTGCATTTTTCTGAATTAATACAAATCTTGATATTGTTAGTTTTTTGTTGTTAATATATCCGGGAAAAGTCTTTGCCTAAAATGACAATTATAATGTATTTACATTTAATAGTTCTTCTGGCCACACGATCTGCTAACATTGATTCTATGACTATTTAAGCTTGTTTCAAGAATACGTGGCCTGGTTAACATATAACCTGCAAATAACCTATTGTATGTCATGAAATGCATATTTTCATGGCTGATAATTAAAATATCTTCAACAATTTTTCTATTTAGGCCTATAATAATGTTGATAAACTTAAAGCCCAGATACAACAAGAGAAACAGTTACGTTCAGTAACAGAGAGTTGTTTATTAGATCAACAAGAGTCCTGGCAGAATATACATCATACTGTCATAGAAACCAAACAACACTGTGATTTTATGAAAGATAAATTAAAGAAATTCAAGTAAGATAAATTAAATGTCCTTATTTTAAAAATAGGTCATTTTATATTCATATATTTTATTCCACCATTCCTATTTGCCATATTTAGCTGCAAGCTACAGTTTGAGATAGTGCCTATATTTTCACCTGAGTTTGAGAGAGCTTGATGTCAAAAGAGATTTGTGCAATTTGAATTAGATAAAACTAAGTTCTCATTATTATTATGAATCAAATAATATCAAATAATTGTGAAATGTTTCTTTATTTTCAGACTATGTATAACAGACCTTAAAGAAATGTGTATGAAAAATGGAAACAACGAAAATGCTGTGAAAGAAAGTTCAACTTTAAAACTTTCAACTTCCAATAAGGCCAAAGACAGAAATTCTATGGAATATGTTTTAAATAAACTTGAGAAATATTTGAAAGAGTTATCTCAGAATATATCTATCCTGATTGTAAATTGTGATCATATTAGTGATAAATGTGTGACTTCAAGAAATGTTGAAACTGAATATGGAATATCACAAAATGTTTTACCTCAACAATTATAAAGTCTTATTTGTGAAAACTTATTGAAGATATTATATGTAAAATTAAGAAACAGTGTAATCTGATTGGATATTTTACTAAATTTATAGTTGAGTTTAGTAATAACATCTAAGGGATAAGTTTTCAAGAATAAGGCCCCAGTAGGAATTTATAGCATTTATTACCAGCTTCAGATTTCCAATTGTTCCAAAGTTTCTAGACGAATGGAGAAATGATTATTTGACAGAGACAATTACAGAACTTAAACTAAAAAAAGAAATATTAATATAAAAGCAGTAAAATAGTTGGGTTGAACATACATTAGTCAGATTTAGACAATATGGGTTTGAAGAATTTCTTGTACATTGTTAGTTCAAGTCACAGTCATAATTTAGATTGTGATGATTTCACTTTGTGTTTTAGTTGTTCATAATCACCTACAGTGCCAAATTTTATAGTTAATTGTTTTCTTCAGCACATTTTTATTATTATTTTAATTATTTTATATTAAAATTTTAATTTTGAATGACAAATAAACTTTATGAGGTTTATACTAGGTAAAGAAAGAAATGTAAAAACCCTGTCTTAACCATAATGATTTTTAGTTTTTTTGTGTTATACTTTTTAAGGTGTATATCAGAATTGTTTTTGTTATTAGACCTTAGTATTTGATCAGATGTATTTATGTACACATGTATCATGATATCTTAAAAATAACTTCCACCAATTTAGAAGGTTGTTTGGGAGCCGCGGTGGCTCAGTGAGTTAGACGCTTGCTCTCTAACCTGAAGGTCCAATCCCGGCATAGGTCGAGATAATACCTTCGGATTTTTCGGTTTACCCCTGTCAGTGATGCACGTAAGAGGGGCTGACATGGAAAAAGATGGGACAATAAACCGAGTCCCGTGTGCTACAGGCTGTGCACGTTAAAGATCCCTCGACAGTTGGAAATCGAAAAAGAGCAGGCTAATGCCGCTGTCCTGGCAAAATTTCCCTCATCGCACCCTGCATGGCGTTGCCCGTCTTCATTAGCCCACATGGTGCAGAAAAGTAGGACGTAAAACTCCATTCATTCATTTCATTTTTTTTTTAAAAGGTTGTTTGATCTTATCATATGTCATGACTTGTACATGAAGATGCTTACTGCTTAACTGTCCCCTATTTTGTCCCTAAGTTGTAGGAATCTATGAATTTACATACCCACAAATTTGCCTCCAAGGACTAATCTTTGAAATTTTGAGCCTTCAGAAACAAATGATTTAGAAGTTGATTGCTCACAGTGGGAAGGATGATAATAAGGCCTCATGTACATTAGACTAAAAGCATCTGTATATGTACCAATGATTGTTTATACACATGAAAACCTATCACAGTATAAATCCCTTCAATGACATAATATTTACATTTGTTAAAACGACTGCATCCTATTGTGCAGGATTTTGATTTGTTGTTATATAATTTGTATTATTGAATTTAGCATCAAGTATAATTTTATTATGTGGAGTTGTAACTTTAAATAAATTCAATCTTACAAATTCGTTTATGATAAATTCCATGAGATAAAGAAAGAGAACTTTTGAGAGTTCCTTGTTGCTCATTCTCAAATATAATAATTACCATGTACTAAGTCACAAAAAGTCAAACAGTCTGATGTGGCATTGCATGGGATTGCTTACTATAACAGCAATTTATCAAGGAAGTAAACACCAAATGTTATTTAAGAGGAAAGAGGTATATAACCAGGCAATATATAAGACAATTGCAAATATACAGGCCTGCTCAGTTATTAATCTATATATAGAGAATTTGACTTTTCTATTTTGGAAAACTGTTTCTGCAATTATGCCTCTCATTTATAAAAGAATTCAAAACTTTAGTGAGATTTCTTTGTCAGATGTAGTACTACAAGGTATTATTACAAGACATCCACTCAGCATCTAATTATTTAAATTTTCTTCAATTTATCATCAATTTGTTTTTTTAATTATTTAACATCCAAAAAATGATTTAAGAAAGACAATAGAAGCATAATATTTTAAATACATAACAACGAAAATTTCCGTCATACCGGCGATGATTGTCATCAGAGCCGTATATAGAGATTGTCATCAGAGCTCTGATTGTCATGATGAAAATCAATTGTTGTCTGTGCCCTATTGTTTGTAAACAAACGAGTTACGTCCCTTCCATAACTAAGCAGCGGCGTCCATGACAACAGTAATACTTCCAAGATGGAGGACGAGGACCAAAACGTTCCCTCGACACCAGAGAAAATGGACTCTACAGGTAATTGATAAGGATAAGGTGTTTTAAAGCTAAACAATATCGATGGTCAAGATTTTTTCTTGTCTTATCAGCATATTGAAGTGCTAGTCTATTAATAATAGCTAATTGTCCTTGAACTTGTCTTTTTTTACTGTTTTTTTTGGACAACAGCGAACAGTCAACAGGACAAAAGTAGGGCTATAATTTGTTTATTGTTTTTCCCTTTTTATGGGAATTTGTTATATAATTCACCTTTTTAAGAACATCTGAACTCCACTTGATCTTGAACAGGTGATAGGCGAGTCCCAAACATCTGCCTAAATTTCAGCCTCTGATAGATATTTTGACAATTTTTGTCTGGAGTAGATTCTGTAAAGCTAGGCCTAGGTCCTGTTTTATGGGTATACCTCTGATACATCTGAAAATGCATATTTTTCTTAAATAATAATATTTAATTATCCTTGGGAGGACTGTCCTGCCACAGTTATGCAGGTAAGCCTAATTGTTAGGCTACAGTAAATTATTGTTGGGAATCACTGAGTAACTTCGTTTTGTTAGTATGGTATCACAAACGATTTTTTGGCGGATTCGATGTAGACCCTGAAGTCATCACAAGAAGTCCAAATTTTCAGTCATATTTTATTAACCAGTTGTCGTCGATTTTTGAAACCCTTTTGTAAGTAGTTGTCACAATCTTGGTGTCGAAAATTTAATTGAAATTGAATTTAGTTATGTAAACAAATGTAAGTGGGAGGCGACTGTGTTTCTCTTAAGATAGATAGGTTCACCTCTTTAGGATTAGCTTTGGCAGACTCGTTGGTGGGGACTCTTTGTCTTTTAAATAGCCGGTGGATTATATTCCATCAGGGTGGTTATAGATTCCAAATTTTAAAACTGCCCAAGGGGGTCATGAAATTAACCATAACTGGGTCGTTGACAATTATATTACTTTTGGCTAACTTGTGAGGGGCAAAACACTGCATGATTTTTTTTTTCATTTAAAGACTACTGGTAGATGTTGTAGTTTGTAATTGTATACTAAAACATGGTGCTCACTATAGCTTTCTGCAAAATTAAGTTTAAGGGTCCTCTTGAGAAGGTGTCTTTTACTGATTTTGTATCAACATTCAACCTCTTTCATGCATGGAATATGTAGTACAAGACTATTAGTGACATTTTGCATCATGAATTAAATGAATATCTATGTAATACTGGTATACATAAAATTATATAATTAATAACTGAATAGCACATTGATTTAAAATAAATAATTCAGTCACATTTTTTTCAACTACATGTAGTCAAAACCGAAATTGAAAAAGTCAGTTACAATCTGGAGACAGTCACAAATGAAATTCAGGGTCTAATCCGAGGTACTAATTGAAAAGGTTCAAAAACCGCACCTTCAAAGATCCCCATTAAAAACAGGGTCTAGTTTTTCTGTCTTTATACCAGCCAACAACTTTCAAAATAGCTCTGAATGGAGACAGATGTTTCGGTCTAGGTTCAGGCTAACATGTACTGACTTCATATAGGTAATTTTTAATGTTTTATTTAGAACAAAGAGAGAAGTTGGTCACATAGCCAATTTTTATCTCTTTTAATGTTTTATTTTTATGGGTAAGAATTTCACCAAAGTGGTATTCTCACTTGGGCTAATAAATTCCAAAATGACATTCTTTAGTTTATTGCTGTACCTACAATTTCGAATTGATATATTATATTCATTGTTATGTAGTTTAGGTCCAATTAAAAAGTATATTAATTTGTGAATTAAGGGTATACTTTAAAAGTCTCACCTGGTGAATTTTTTCAAATTAATATCTGACATATTGTTCATATATCTGTATTCAGATAACAGGGTTTATCTTGAAAATTCATGCTTTTTTTTAACCTTTTGTTTTAAGTTTTGCTTTTGTCTGTCTTAATTATCTTGTAGTTGAAATAATAATCTATATAATAGTTTATATTAGTTTAACATTTTTGTCAGTTTTATTTCATCGTTGTTTATGTTAACTAATTCTAATTTTTATTTTGTTCTTTTTTCTTCTTTTTCATTTTTATTTTCTAAAAGATAATGAAAGAAAATCCAAAAATTTAGTCCAAGCTACTGCACATTTGAAGGAAGAAGCCTTAAGAAGGTACAAAATAAGCCAGGAAGAAGAAAAAGAAAAACTGAAGGACAAAAACAGTCAAAATCAAAATCTTTCTGATGCAACTATTTCTGAAAGCAAAAAAATGCAGAACAGTAATTTAGATGCGACAGCTGAAGACAATAGCATTAAACAAGAAAAGTCAGAAGTGACTGATGGCCAGCCTCAGGTCACAGAACCAACAGAATCAAGAACTGCTGTAGAAAATAGTCCTAATACTATTGACACTTCTAAATCTAACAATATCTCTTCTAGTATAGATAATAAAGGTACAACACTGTTAATAATATTTCCAAATAAATAATTATATTATAAAAAAAAACTAATATAAAAACTAATATAATATATTTTCATAAATAACACATAGCTTTTAACACCTTTGTCTTTATAAACCCATATAGAGTTTAGAACAGTTGCTCACCGGAAAATGGCTCACAAGAGAACTGAGATATGGGACAATGGCTCACCTCAATTTTTAACAAATTTCTTTTTTGTTCATGTTAAACTTTTCCCAAATGATGGCATCCTCTTGTTGGTGGTATTTTTGTATTGATTTTAAGATAGATGTAAAAACTTTTTAACGTCTGTAGACATTTGGAAATGAAAAAAGTTTTTATCATATAGTGGCACGGGTTTTGACCAAGTTTAGTTTTATATTTTGCAAACATGATAGACTAGTTTGTTTGTTCAATATATTTTTAGGTGAAACAACTGAAACAACAGTAACAGGAAATGCCCCAAAAGAGACAGTTCCATCAGAAGATATGTCAGCTCCAACTCCAGGGGGCATTACTGCACCACCATCCCAGGAAGTAGAACCTAAAACAGACAAACCTACAACAGAAACCATTCAAGTTGTTAATCCTCTAGGTTCAGAAGCAGACAAACCTGAACTCAACACAACTGAAACGGTTCAGCCATTAACTTCAGACTCCACTGCTGAATCAAAAGAAGACCCAAGCCAAGCAACCACAGGTGACCCAGCATCATCAGAAACAGTTTCTTCTGATGCTCATCAAGTAGAAAAAGATACACCAAAGACGGATTTGCCATCTGAAAAACTAGCTGAGTCAGAGACAACTGCTGAAGTAAAATCTGATGAACCAGCTGAAGTGAAATCTGACGAAAAATCTGATGAACCAACTGCTGAAGTGAAATCTGCTGAACAAACAACTAAAGTGAATTCTGATGAAACAAGTGCTGAAGTCAAGTCTGCAGATGAAACAAATGTGGAAGTGAAACCAGCTGAATCAACTACTGATGTGAAGTCTGATGAAACAACTGCTGAACTAACTGCTGATGTCAAGTCTGCTGATGAAACAAATGCTGTAGTGAAACCTGCTGAACCAACTGCTGAAGTCAAGGCTGCAGATGAAACAACTGCTGAACCAACGGCTGAAATCAAGTCTGCTGATGATAAAACTCTTGGTGAAAAGCCAGTTGAAGTGGGAGATGCTGCTCAGAAACCTGCTGAAACATCAGTTACACAGCAGGAAAAAGATATCAAACCTGAAACTTATGGTGAAGGTGACCAAGCTGAAATCAAGAAGTCTTCTGAAGGTGCTGAAACGGTTGAAAGAGAAAAAACTGGTGCTGATGGAGATTTTAATGAAAATGCTGCAGAAGGTAAGTAACACTCAGTTTAATTTCATATTTTTTCTGGTAAAGCTTGGTGATATAATACTAATGAATTTGTTGTGGAAATTTTACATCCTTTATAAAGACAAATCTCAATTTTTTTTTATATAGGAACTGAGAATGAAAACAAGGAACCAGAAGTAAAGTTAATGCCTGAAGATTTTTATTACGATATTGATGAACATGTGTCCAAACCAGAAGTTACTGAAGAATCAGGACTTCCACTTGATCTCTTAGCTTTAAAGTATCCTTTGAAAAATCATTCATGATAAATTACAACTCATGAATTCATTAAAATAGTTTGTTTTTTGAAGTAAGTTATTTGTATTCAAATTAGCCCATTTCCATAAAGGGCAAACTTCATTGCTGTATAAACTTTACTTAAGGTGAAAATAAAAAACCTTAAGTTAATCTTTACCATTAACTCCATATAAAAATTAACCATATTCAAAGAATATCAAGAGCGAGATTTGCTGATTGTTGTGTTGCTTGATAAATTGACTTTTTTCCTTAATCCATGACAATAGACATTCATTTGGTTATGATTGTAAACGTCGTTGTAATTTACACATGCTAGATGAGAATACTTTGTTATTCTTGGCTGGTAACCTCATACAACTATTAGATTTACCCAGCAAAAAGTTAACTTATATTCGCAGTACTAGTGGTGGAGGTATTGGTGCTCTAGCTGTAAGTAAACATTAATGAATGTGCTTGGAAATAGAGTCCTTCCCTTCAGCTTAAGTCCACTTAAGGGCTCATAATCACCTGGTTTTTTTATTGTAACACTTTGTCTATTCTCATGCTGATGACTGACACCATTTTCATTTGTCTAGTCTGTCAAATGTTTTATAATGATTATGTTATGTTTTGTATCATGTTCTGTTTTTTCTTCACTTCAGGTGCATCCCAGTAGGAAATATTTTGCTGTTGCTGAAAAGGGTCATGCTCCCAATATAAATGTCTTTGAATTTCCATCTTTAAAGTTGTTCCGTATTTTACGTGGTGGTACTGAACAGATGTATTCCTCATTGAATTTCAGGTATTTGCATTTTATTTAAAATGAATAAGGATTTCAAGGCACCAAAAAGCAATTTCTCTCAATTTCCAAATCTTCAATAAAGTCAAAGATTCTTTATGCAATTCCAGGTCACATTTTGTTACTAAGAAATCATCCTTTCACCCGATGATAAAGTTGTGAATTTTATGAATGTAAGAATTAAAACATAAACCCAGTAGTAGTATAGCATTGTTTTATTATTTCAGATATCATAAGGTTTTTAAGTCTAGGTTTTAAATGATTTCATAGTTTCTGCTCTGTTGATAAGATGTTATTATGAATGTTTTTTTTTTAGTCCTGACGGTGAATTATTGGCGTCACAAGGAGGGGAACCTGATTTTATGCTGACAGTGTGGAACTGGAAACAGGAACAAATAATGTTGAGAACTAAGGCATTCTCTCAGGAAGTGTTCAGAGTATCATTTTCTTCTGAATTAGAAGGACAGCTGACAACAGCTGGTACTGGTCATATCAGGTATGTCATGTTTCTTTCTCTTACAACAATTATCACTAGCTTATCCAGGATTTCTGCACTTGGTGAATTTAAATCAAAGATTCTCCAATTTAAAGTGATACTATGTCTTAGAATACACTCGCCCTGTGGCTAATATTTGTGACCATTGGTTAAATAAGTATGTATCCTACACTTAATCAAGTTTGAAAAATCGACAATAAAGCTATAATCATAATTTAGAAAAAAAGTGAGCAAGCCATGAATCCGTTCAGTTGAAGAAAAAAAAAGTCTGGGTAATCAACGCTAAAACAGGAAACAATCATCTTCCGGTGTATACAAACAAACTTTGCCAATGATTAATATTCGTTGAAAATTGTGTCAGTGGTGGAGTATTCATTCTAAATTATATGAATTGCTTTTTGCGGATTCACTTAATCTCCTACGAGGCATCATTATTCCGTCTTCAAAATATGTCAAGGTCAATTCAAGAGTAGAGGTCAAGGACGCGGGAAACCCCACTTGAGAGTTACTTCCCCTTGAAAATTACACCGGATTTCCTAGACTCACGATTTGAAAATCGTTTAATGGATGTATTAAGCGTTTTATAATTAATTACTTGATTTTGTGGATATATCGGATAATAGAGGGATTTTAATGTTTAGTTAGGACACCAGGTAAGTCCACTGATGGATATATACTGTTATTGGCCAAATTTGAGCAAAATTAAAATTTTATGTTCATCCTAAGACGTAGTATCCCTTTAAACATATTCCTTGACACCAAAGATGGATAATTTTGTACTTTTCACTTTGGATGAAAATTTTAATAGGTTGTCGTGAAAGAAAAAAAATTTTGTTCAGGATCATTGTGTTTTGTATTTCATAATGCTCCCAAATTTGATTTATTTTAGATTTTGGAAAATGGCGGATACATTCACAGGTTTGAAGTTACAAGGAGAATTGGGAAGATTTGGTAAAACTGAAATCTCTGATATTGAAGGTTATGTTGAATTACCTGATGGAAAAGTTCTGTCAGGATCAGAATCAGGCAATATGCTACTATGGGAAGGTGGCCTGATCAAGGTAAATGCTAAAAACTTGGCTCGGTTATTGATATGAAAAATCGTTCTGTATTTGTATAGAGATGTTTTTAACTTCTCTTCTTTAAAATATTATTTTGAAATGAACTTTTTGTCTGGATAGGGCTGGGCTAATCAAAATGGACAACACAATGAGTATGGGGTCTATTTCAATTTTTAAGGGAACTTTCACATGCACAGCCTATGGTGCCCAACTAGTGCAATGTGTTGTTAAATACCCGTTTTTAGAAGGTAATCGAGGTTGATAAGCCTGAAGTTAGCATCTTAACTGATGAAATATTTAACCTTGGACTTAAAGGTTTAAGAGCAAGTTTCTAACTTCTTGAAGATCTTTGAAATGTTTTCAGCAGAATAAATGACAAATGAGGTTTTTAAAAAGAGAGAAAGATATACAAATAAAAATTTTTCTATGATTAAGGTTGAGATAGGACGTAAAGGTAAAAAGTTATGTCATCATGGTGCTATACAACAGATATTATTAGATGAAGGTGAACTGATGACTATTGGTATTGATGGTTACGTCAGGGTAAGTTAATTCAGAATTATTGAAGCTTTCTCTTAATTGTTACTATCTACAATCAAAATTTGATACCTTTGTAGTGTAGTGTTTCTTCAATCCAAAATTTCAATATGATTAATGTGCTTTTTGCTTATGAAATCAGCAATATGTTTACTACAGAAGCAGACAGCTTATGTTTGAGCAGAAAGCAACTTGTCACTTAATAGACCACCAAGTGTCTCTATGTATGTGTTGATTGATTTCTTTAGATTGTACACATCTGTAGATAATAGTATGCTTACATCTTTTTCACAAACATGTTTCTTTAAATCTAAATGTGGGAGTTTTTCAATAGAAATTAAGTTGTTTGTTTAATTTTAGATGTGGGATTTTGAGACAATAGATACAGCTGATACTAGTGATGATACTGGTCTTTTTGAAATGGAACCAATGAATGAATTATGTGTGGGACCCCATGTTCAATTAAAATATATTGTCAAGTCTATTGATGATGAAAATGAAGCCACTATCTGGTATGCTCAGGTGGGTCAAAGGTCATTCTTTTATTCCCAAGTATCTTAAAAAAAAATGCTTTGCATCAAGAATTATCCTCTCTTTTTCTTAATGATGAAATGTTAGTGTTTTTGTTTTCTTATAAATAGGAAGCCATTTAAAATGAATAGCAAATGTGCAACGATTCTGTCATTTTGCTCTGTTAGTGTCTTTAAAGAATACAAAAGAATCAAATCCTTGATTAGTCTAAAGTAATTTATTCAAGGCTCTTTAGATGTTTAGCTTTGTGATTCCTACAACCTTTTACTAATCTTATTCATGTTTTTTAAGGATGGTAATGGTGCTATATACAAACTAGATTTATCATTCTCCCATACTTCACTAGCACCTGAGAAGATCACAAGTTATCATGCAGGTCCAATATCAACCTGTATAACATCTCCAGTAACTCATCTTGTAGCAACTACTGGTACAGATGGTAGGTAGATCCAAAAAATTTAAACTAACATTTCTCTCATTACATTCTGAAAAATCACCTCCATTAACCGAACAAAGGGCACATAGTAATGTGACTGATAAAGTTTTGGTGATTTTTTAGTTGATGATTTGATTATTTAGTGTTGTTGCAGCACAAACTAAAATCAAATGCAAAGGATTATCTGTAAAATCTAATATATTTTTTTAAAATTATGTTTAACACCACAAATCTAAAATGTAAAATACATACAGTATAATACTGTTTATTTTTTTTCAAATTGTAGCAACTGTCAGGGTATATGATTATATGACAGAAAAACAAGTTGTAGATACAAAATATACATCTTCTGGTACTGCTATGTTTTGGGCACCAAAAATAGTAAGTAATATGTGTAATTTCTTATTTATCTAAATTTTTAAAGATAATTGGACTATCACTGATAGTGATAACCATTGTGGTGCTTAGGAAATTTTTACTGATGTTGATGGCGAATTTCAACCTAGGTGACAGATCAGCACAAGTCTCAGCATGTTTCTGAAACTTTACTGATATTATATAAAATTAATGAATAAGATATTGTTCAAACGATTCTTTCAACCTTATTGCAGTATTACTCAAATTCTTACAGACATCAGTGACGTGTCTATCAGTAATCAGTAATGATTTCTGTATTTAGGTAGACCCTAAAGGTAGTACAATATATGTGGGATTTGAAGATGGTGTAATAAGAATTCTAAATGTTACTGAACCAGTGACTGTGCCAGGCCGTAAACACAAATCAGAGTGTGAAATATCATTAGTGCAGGCATTAAAACCACATAAAAGTCATGTAACATCAATTGCTGTGGATGGAAAAGGGGAGATTTTAGCCACAGGGGTTTGTATAATTTTCTTCGTTTCTTTTTTACTTTGTGAAGAAAGAGAAAGTGTATTGAGTTGTATCAGTTTTTCTTAGGTATTTTAAGAGTGCAACAGAAACATAAGTCAAATTCCAAACACCTCTTACCTTTAAAATGGAAAGTTCCGAAAATATTTGTAAGCAGAAGTTGGAAAGTTTGATTTTATAATTCAGGGTGCAGATAGTACTGTATTTTTTATTGGTATTGGTGAAGAATATAGTCCTATTGGTTTTGTTTCTACACCTGCACCAGTTACACAATTACAGTTCTCACCTGAAAAATTTGTAAGTTTTCTCATTTATAACAAATAAATACATCTTTTCTCATTTTGACAGCAGTCTCTTTTATTGCAGTTCACCAAGAAAATACCTTAATTTACTTCAATTTGTTTCATGTTGTTTTCTGATATTTTTCATCTCCACTGTAATCTAAAAGTCCCATTCTAGTGACATAAATTTAAACAAATCAAAGTGTTAAGTCTGGTTTCTTGATAACGTAATGGATAGTTGGATAGCTAAAACTAGAACAAGAGCAATATAACAACCTCTTTGGTTGTTGCTATCCCACAAATCGTTATTGTTTTCAGGAAACAAGTTTCAACCTGCAAGGATGATTAAAATAATGTTAAAAATATAAGATTAAGTGGAACATGGTGTAATTACATACCTACTATTATATTATCTTTTTCTAAATTGATCTATTAGGAGAAATGTTTCACTGTCGTTACGTTTCTCTGAATTTGATTTGGTATAATTATGCCTGTACTTTGATAGTGATTCTTAACTATTTTAACATATTTCAGTCTAAGTCGACACTATTGGTTGTGTGTGAAGGGGGTATAGTGGTAGAATATGATATAGCTAACCTGGATAAGCTAGATACAGCACATACTTATCATATACAGCATCTAGAAAATAGAAAGTATACTTTTAGAAGTATTAAATCCAGACTTAGGGTAGGTATATTTATATTAGTTTCCAGCTTAAAATCATTTTTGAGAACCACTATTGCCTTCATAAAATGCAGAAAAGTAGGACTTATATTTCAATGCATCATAATTTTCATTAAGAAGTTGTCATGGTCTCAGGAGAATCTCAGTTAAAACCTCAGTGGAAAAATTTCATAGCTACTACCTAATGGAGCCAAAACAGTGTGGCAAACCACAGGGCTCCCTTCATTTTTTTCAAAACAAAGCAAAAGTTATTTCAAGCAAAATTATATTTTAAAATTTATAATTTTTGTAGCACGAAGAAGAATTAGAAAGATTTAGAATAGAAGAGGAAATTAGGAAGAAGAAAGAAGAACAGGAAAGAAGAATTAGAATTGAGAGAGGTTTAGAAACAGAATCAGACAATGAGGAAGAAGGTAAATTTAACAGTTTTGGTTTTGCCTTGAGATCTCTGAATTCAGCATCTCCAGTTGATGTAAAAGAGATTGTCCTGAATTCTTACCTCATTCAGTGTTCAGAAGTCTGGTGACCTGGATTACATGTGATATGTGTTTGTGTTGTACAAAGACCATTAATGTTTGTTTTAGATTCTAAAGAACCAATCAAACAAACAGAAGAATGGAAGCCTTACATACCAGAAGATCCTAGTCCTATTTTACAAGCTTTTTATTCATTAAAAGAAAATCAATTTTGGCTTTCTATGGTAAGTTTAATCTCTTAAATCTAATTTGCTTTAAGTTCTAGACAAAGGAAATAGCAGACTGAATCTCTCAGGCATAATTCAGTTATAATGGTATTTTCATGCATTTAGGATTTAGTCAAAACTTTGGAATAGTGTAGAATTTCTTAAAAATCAGCAATATTGATCACATAAGTGAAGAAACAGGAAGCATGCTTGGGCTTCTTAAAATATTAAGAATTATGTTATGAATTTGTTACGTAATATTTTTTGGAATTGATGTAATATTTGTATTACTTAAATGTATTGAGCACTCTGTTTAAATAGTGCTCAATACATTTATGGTTATATTATATTTTAGGGTGAGTTTGATGCTGGTTATTTATATGAGTGTAAATTTGCTAATGAAGCTGATAAATCTAAACTGGTTTATGATGAACCTCTACAAGCTATACCAGTAGTAGATTCAATTGATGTCCCTATTAGTATTATAAGATTCAGGTGAGTATTACAAAGCAATTATCATTTTCTGTGAACATATTTTTGCAACTTGCAAGATTTTTTACACTGGATAAACCTATGTATGAAAATACAGTTCATGGTAAAAGAACAGTTCTGTTCGACAGCATTCATCTAACATTTTGTGCATTTAAGAAGAGGGCAAGGAATATGTGACAAAAATGAGTGGTCACAGGTCATTAAAATTTTTATTGACCACAAGTTTGAAGAAAAAGCTCTGAAATTTTTTGAAAAATTGCTGCATGCATGCAAGACTGAATTTGTGGATGTAGAAATTATATAACCTTATTTTGTGCTTCTTAAGAGATTGTTTGGTCAATTTTCAGTACAAATGGTCAACAAGTGATATTTGGTATGATGAATGGTAAAATTAGAATACAACAATTAGATGAACCATTTGACATTTCAACCATGGCTGCATATTGGATGTTGAGTTTACATGACAATCATTATGGTCATATTACTGGATTAGCAATGAGTTTTGATTCATCCATGCTATTATCTGTTGGTGCTGATGGAAATTTCTTTAGTTTTGTGTACATGGAACAGTTGAAACTTGAGGAACAAATCAAAGCAAATAAAGCCAAAATTCCATCCGCTAGAGTGAGTAAATTGAACCGTATAGCTGACATTAAATGAAAAAATAGAAATAATTGAATCAGTACGAATCACAAAATCATATATTTCTAGTGAAACTGTAACCTTTTCTTTGCAGAAAGATATTGATCCTGAAAGACAAATAGATGATATTGATGATCCTAATGCATACAGGTATAACGTTTGAAATCTTTTACAGTTAGTTTTTGAATCTTGTTTCAATTGATACAAGTAATTTAAATCATAGTAGGTTACAGATGACCAAAAATATATGTTTAGTTATTTTGCAGTTCCACACATGGGTGACAAATAAAATATTGCAATTTCTCAAAATTATACTGTTTGGTAACATTTCAGTATTGAAGATGCAAAACAAAAAGCAGAATATGACAAATTAATGAAACAAGCAGAAGAAAAAAAACGTGAAGTACGAAGAGCTATAGCTAAATTACGTCGTCAATTTAAAGCCATATTAGAACAGAATGAAGATTTGCCATCTGATTTACAACTTGATAGAATGGTGGGTATTTTGTGGTAAAAGTGTATACTAATGCATACCAGTACCTTTTGAGGTTCTTGGTTGAGGCATTAAATTTTGTCAAAGTGATAAATATGAAATAGATATTGACCTGATAAATATGTTCTGAACACTACAACAGTTTGATAATAGCTAGTAAATATCAGTAAAACTGAAATCTTTTCCTCTAAATTGAGGTGTGCTCTTCAAAAGATAATTTGCTGATGATTTCCTCTTTAGGAATTTGAAATGGACAGAGAAATCAAGTTAGAATTACAACGACAAACTGAAGAGAAAATAGACACAGTTAGAAAAGAGTTAGCTTGGGATTCTGAAAAACACAGAATAGCTCTAGATAAATTACGCAATAGGTCAGTGAAATTATTTATATTGATATAATCTGAAAAGAGTATGTTGTTGAGGTGGAAGTGTCCTCAAAATTTGTATTATTTGCATTAGTCCAGTAAGCTGCAGGATATCTTTAAAGGGTTTGTAAAGAGCTTTTTAATGAATTTTATGTGTATCGTGCACACTGATAGCATTGATTTGCAGCATTCCAATTTTCATCAGACGACTGTGGTTCTTACAGTTCCACTAAAACTAAGCGCTTTATGATGTCAGTATTGCAAAGGGCCTTATATGAGAAAGTTTCTCTATAATCCCCTTAATTCAATTGTTTATTTAAATGTATATCATTTGATGGGTACAAGCACTTTCTATGTGAAGCTATTGAGTACTAAATTTCAAAAGTCAATGTTAATCATGAATGTATTTTTTTCCTAGGTTCAAAGATGTTGTCGAATGTGAAAAAATTATTTTAAAATGTTTCCAATCAACTCATGAAGTTTCCAGTTATCGAGCTTCTAAATTATCAGATGATTTTTATAAGATGCAAGCTGATTTTGAAAGACGGAAAACAACAATGGTTACACGAGATGATTTCACTCGAGATCCAACCCAAGATTTGTTAGCAGGTAATTAGCTTTGAATATCATACTGAGAATTTATCTATACATGATTTAAAACCATTCTTATTGGAGAAAATCCAAAAGCTGACATCAGAGGATCACCAACTGTTAATGACACAAAATTGAACTTTCCCGTCAATCTAATAATGGTTGTTGATGATCATGCTATCGACTTCCTGACTAGTGCTTCATTTTAGTTAAAAAATTGAAATATTTTGCTTTGTTAACATTTGAATAGTGCTTCCTAAAGGAATGTTGACTTGACAAGTAATGTACATGGCATAAGGTGAAAGGGTGAGCATGACAAGCAGTAATAATTTCTTTTTCACAGGTCAGACCAGAATGACAGAAAGTTCAGTGACTATGGGAGAGAAATCAGAAGATGATAAAGGTGCAAAAGTAACTACAACATTAAAAGGTAGTATGGGAGAGAGAATAACCAAGGCATTACAGAAAGTTGAGGAAAAGAAGAAAAAAAGAGCAGCAAGAAGAGCACAGGTAAAGTTATGTTGAGAAAGCTTAAAATGTAGTGAGACACACCTAAAAGTTTATGGTTTTATATACCATATATTTGCATGTATAGTGTGCAGTTTTTTTGAAACTGAAATTGGCATGCTAAACTTAGTGTGCTCATTATATACATTGATAAAAAATTTCACTAGAAGTCTCCTTTCAATATTGACAATCCACCATTGATGATGGTGGAGTTGCTCTTATGGAAGACCATATGAAAAAGTCCTGTCAATGCCACAAGATCGATTTTCTAATTTCCATTGTGTGTACTGATTATCTTAGATTTGTGTTTAGTATTGATAAAGTAATTTGAAAACCATTTCAGTGGTCTGAGTTACATGAAACTAAACCAGATGATAATTATGAAGATCCTGCTGATGTTGCCAGTATAAAAGAAGCTAAACAGAATATGGGAGATTATAAATTAAAAACAGCTAAAGATTATGTTGTACCAGACCATCTTAGAATGAATGTAGAAAAAGCTAGAGGCAGATTATTAGTTTTGAAAGATTTGGTAAGTACATAAAAAGGTTTCTGTTTTGATTTCGATCTTATACTCAATTCTTTTTGGTGAGAATTTATCAAACGTTCCTAATTCTAATAATGAGACCTAAAAACCTATCAATCAACCCTTCTTTAATTTCTCTCTCAATTTCAGATTCATGAATATAAATATAATTTCAATGTCAAATTCTTGTCATTGCGTGATAAAAAGATTAAAACAATAGAAGAAATCACAGATTTAGTGAATCAATTAGAAGAAATACATATTAAACTTGATGTATCAAAACACAAACCAGTACCTGACATCCCTAAAATGCATAGCTGTGAACAACCAGAAAGGTAAATGTTCTTCCTCACTCTGAATCATTGATGGTAATATGATTTCTGATTGTCAGAGTTTGGAATAAGCTTAGAATATTTCATGCAATTTTCATTACATTCGACTTTCAAATGGTGTGAGTTTCTACTTTAGATTTAAAAACAGGTTACCTTCAATTACAAAAATTGTATAAAATTGAACCTTTCTCTACAGGAAATTGGAATATACAAGAGAAACATTGATAAGGTTTAAAAAAGAGAAAGAACATACTGATTTACAAAAGAAAATGGGTGGAGGAGATTCTTCAGGGTTTGGAGGTGGATTTGGAGGGTTAGGAGGCGATAAGGTGAGAGTTGAAAGAGGTTATCTAAATAGAGCCAAAATATTTTTTATTGGTAATTCAGTTTTTCTGTCAGAACATAATCATACATGAAATACACGAAATGTGTCTTAAACATCAATAATTGCTCTGCTATTCAGTGTGATGATGTGACTACACATTAAAATTTCAGCAGATGAAAATAACAATCTTTCAATTGTGTTAATTAAATATTTTATAGCATCATACACCATCACCACCTTTAATACCGAAGAATTCTTCAATGATGAGTGGTGTAAGTAAAACTGAGTCTAGCCAATCACAGGATAAAGAAATTACTATAACTGAAGAAGTTGAACCTTCACCATTAGAACTACAGATTAAGCAAATGGAAGAAATCAAGTTAGTTTTTGACAATTTTTTGAAAACAGTTGTTGTCACCCAAATTCGAATTATATTGTGTAGATGTCCTGTCCGAAAACCTTGATTATGTTCAAGCTCTACAAAAATAATAACTACTTTGATACCCTGGGGAGTGTTGAGTCTTCTCATTTTGAAACACTAAATGTCACTCTGCATTTGTCCAATAAATAGAAAATATAAATGCTAATTGTCATTTTCACTAGAAACAGTTTGAAAAATATAAAGATATATTAAAGGTTTCAAATGATTATTAGAAATATTAAAACAGAACCTGAAACTTGTTGGTGATAATTATGATACATTTTTTTTTTTTTTCGTTTTTAATTGGGTAATATTTTTTTCAATTTGTAAATAGGCTTAACATAGAATTCCTTACTTTCAGATTAGTCTATGAACAAGATAGATTATTAGCTAGAATTGATGAATTATTAAAAACATTTGATGCTGAACTAAGGTTGCTAAGACATGATAAATTTAAACTGGATATTACTATGAAGAATGCTGATTTAAGACAAGTTACATTATTTGAAGAGTTTGTCTTATTGAAGGAATATGAAATAAGAGAAGAGAGTTTAGCTGACAAAGTTTCTAGCAAACATCAAGAAAAGCTAGACATGCAGAACAAGGTAATGGTCATTGAATACACGAAAAGTTACTCAATCTTTTAGTCTAAATGAAAGTTATTTATGTTAACTTTTATAAGAAATAAGATAATTTAAGATACAGTTCAAGAAACTTGATTGATTTTAGGATGATGGTAGGTAAAGATTTTTCATTTTAAATATTACTTAAAACATACATTTAATTTTTAAAGTTCTGGGTCAAATTCTCTTTTCTTTCATTCAGACTTGTAGTGTTTAAAGATTTTTCGTGAAATTTGACCGTCAGTTTTTCCTTAATCTGTTTTTTTTTAAAAAGAGCTTGATTGACTTTAGGATGATGATGTATGTTGTTTGCTGGAAAAGATACTTCAATTTTAAAATTATTTAAGACATAAAATTTTATCTTAAGTTTACTTGATCATTTCTTTCAGATTATGGAGGTTCAAGCTAAGTTGGATAATAAAAAGAAAGATATTGAGAAATTGATGGAAAAAGATAAAAAATTACATGCTGAATTTACTAATTCATTAGGAGAAAATAATAAATTTGTAGATTACTTAACAAAAGTTTTTAAGAAGAAAATTAAAAGAACAAAGAAAAAGGCAAATGATGGAGGAGGTAATATTATTTCTTGAAACACATAAAGAATTGTACAGACCTGCAATATCTAAGTTTTTGTGTTGTAGAGTCTACATCAACTATTTTTTAAGGATTTGTTGAATTGTTGTAAAAAGTTGAGTTTTTGAGAAAATTGTTGTATTGTTGTAGAATCTACAAAGTTGAGTTTGTGAGAAAATTGTTGTATTGTTGTAGAATCTACAAAGTTGAGTTTTTGAAGAAAATTGTTGTATTGTAGAATCTACAAAGTTGAGTTTGTGAGAAAATTGTTGTATTGTAGAATCTACAAAGTTGAGTTTTTGAGAAAATTGTTGTATTATTGTAGAATCTAATGACGATAGTGATGAAGATAGTGATGATGAATCAGATTGGGAAGAAAGTGATGAGGAATCAGAATCTGAAGCTGGTGGATTTGATTTAGATGTTTGTCCACAAGGCTGTGACCAGGTAACATACCATTTTTTCTAATGTTAAATTGGATAGTCTGTTGCAAGCAAAATGAATTGATTTAGCTGAACTTGTCAGTAATATGTGTGATTGATTTCTCATAGACATCTGATAACAGGTCAACTTCGTGTGACATACAGTAGACCTGAATCTTCATTCCAGAATGCCTGCTATGAAAGTCAGTACCTCAAGGGCTTCATTTACATATCGAGTTTTGTTTGTATTTGATTTGAATAATTTTGTCAAGCCAGTAATGATAACATGGCATGTATTCATCATATCAAAGGCAAGGTGTTGTTTGGTCCATTGTTTCTGCATAATTCCAATTGTGTTTTTCTATCCTCTGAAAAACTAATTTTGATGTGTTAACTCTTTATATTTTAATTTTTCAGTCAATCTATGACAGTACATGTCAATTGAGAGAAAAACGATTAGACAACGAAGAGGAATTAGTAGAAGAAAAGAAGAATGCTGAGGCTATGAAGAAAGAATTGGAAGGTTTACAGAAGAAAGCTAAAGTTATTGATGCTTCTTTGAAATATGCTCAGAATGATTTAGAGGCCTTCCAGGTATGTTTCTGTTGAATTCCATATTATCTCACCACTATAATCACATCACTCTTTTGATAATAAATCTTGGTCACAAGAAATGTGGCTGTAATGTAACATTATTCAAAGAGTTATTCTTTCTGTTTGTATATTGTAGCTTGAGAAACAACAGAAACTCAATGAATTGGATGTTGTAGTAACATTACGTCTACATCAAATCCTCCATATTGTAAATAGTGTCCTACCACAAGATCTTTCACAGACTTTAGTTTTTGAATCAAGCGGTGTAGAAAGATTGCAACATCGAATCAAAGAACTGGAACATGAAAAACATCTGCAGAAAAAACAAATGAAGTAAGAAAAAATTTGGTCTCAGTGTATTGGAGATCCAGTGAAATTTTGAAAAATACAAAATATCGGCTACAAATCTTACTGGGCTAATAACTTTTAAAATTATTTGAATGGGAATGGAGTTTTATGGCGTATCCTTCTGTACCTTATTGGGCAATTGAAGACGGGCAATACCATGCAGTGTGCAATAAGGGAAATGAGCCTGCAGCACAAAAAGCCTTGGTTTATTCTCCTGTAATGACCAGACTCTTCATTGAGACTAAACTGGATATTGTATTTTTTCTCTTTCAGAGAGTCCAGAAAGAAACATGTCCAATTGATAAAAGATAGAAAATTATTTGAAGAGAAAATATCTGAGATGAATGAAACCTGTAATGAAATGATGATAGCCAAGTTTGGTTGTATTGTGGATTTGGAAAAACTAGAAACAGTTGTGGTCAATCGTGGTATTGAGGAAATGAAAGAAAAACTACGAGTTACAGAAATTACCTGCTCTGAGGAAATGATTGATTTAAATGTATGTATGAATTCCTTCTCTTGGCATTTAAGTAAAATATTGAATGTCTTTTTGATTTCAGTAAATAATTTAAATATAGGACTTATTCTATGTTCTAAATTACATCATAACATTATGTATACAAACATAAAATGAAGTAAATTATACATTTTATTTTTTCTTGTATAAATTTCTACCAATTACTCGAAATACTAACTATTATTTTACTTTTTTCTCTAGAAATTAGTAGCAGAAAAGAAAGATCGTATAACAGAATTAATTAAAGACAATACCAATAGATTAGAACAATTATGTATGTTATCTACAGAGAAAAAAGATTTAGAATCTTCTCTTGATTCCAGACAGAAAAATCTGGTAAGTTCAGCACAATTTGATACACTTCATGGAGACAAAACACAAAATCAGGACATCCTCTTGGATTGAATGCCACTTTTTCTATATATTTACTTATGACTTTTACATTCCAGAATGTAAATTTAGGAATACAAAAAAAACAAGTACTAATGATTGGAACTGAAAAACAAAACTTGAAATCGGAAAGGAGAGTTCTGCAATAAATTTGTAGCGGTTATTGAACTTAAATATCTTTGTAAAAGTCTGATAATTTTGCATAAATGCGATTTTCTACATGAAGTTTATATTAAAATCAAATTTCAAGAAAAACACAAAGATACTTGCGTAGTTAAAGCTACAATGTGAGTAAATATGTAAATTAAATCTCAAGGTAATGAAATATTATTTCTTTTATCTTAGGGTGAAGAATACACTGGCCAACGGAAATCAGATGTTCATGAAAGAAAAAGATTAATTCAACTGGTACAATTACAGGCACAAGAAATAGATGCATTGAAGGAAGAAATCATGCTTTTATCAAGAAAAGGGGGTCATATTCTACCCCCAGCCCAACCCCCACTTCCACAAACTCCCAATAATATACATTCTGTCAATCACTGAGGCTTTAAACCATGTACTGTATTGTGCTATATCTTAATAATTTATAGGGGTGGGTTAAAGTTATAGAAATCAATATGAGCTTTTTGTGATTACGTATTCTAACCTAACCTTTCTTGTCCATTGCTCTGCACATTAAGGTTTTTTCAGACATTTATTTCCATAATCCGTTCACAAAATTATCTATATTTGGAGTAAAAATTACAGTCATTATGTGTTGGAAGCATGTTCTATCCTCAAATTGCTTTTCAAGTATGTTGGATTTTTTTTTTTTAAATCTCCTGTGATATGTGTCTTATCCCTAAAGGTCACCTTTTTTTACAAGTTTTAATCATTCCTGTGAATTAAAATCAGATATCCTTCACTGATCCATCCATAATGCTGATATATATATTGGTTGATTTCATGTGATTTTATCAGAGATTGATATGGTTTATTTCTTGATAATTTTTTATGAAACTGCTGTGATTATCATTTATCTATTTTTATTATATTCATTATTGTTATTATTTATTGTATATGTCACTACATTTTACATTAAGTTATATACAGTGAATTCAGTAAATTACTCTTCAGTGCTATAAAACCACAAAAATAACAGTATTAGCTTTGTGTAAAGTCAGAAAGGCAAGCTGACAAACTCAGTGACTCTGGGGCACCTGCAACAGAAATTTTAAAATGGAGCTGATTACAAATTGAGTTTGAAGATTTGAACTTTAAACAAAGGGAAGACTTATTTTCATTTCATTTCACCGCAGCGTTTCACCGGATCGAAACAAGGGTATGCATTTGACATGACACATACATGCGGTGCGTTGCGATATTTTCCGCTGCGTTTCACCGGACCAAAAGTCTCGGGATTTTCTGTCCGGTGAAACGCAGCTGTGCCGCAGGTGATTTGCATTATTTCAGACGTCATTGTGAGTAAACCCCATAATTACAGAGTGGAAGCCGTCAACATGCCACGTTCAGTCAAATTTAACGCAAAAGTGAACCGCGCGTATGTGTCATACCTGCCGCAACCGGTTTACCGCAACGCAGGCATCGCACCCGCATGTATGTGTCTTCAGCTTAAGGGGTGAATGGTTGACGTTTTAAAGCTCCGTTCAAGTTTGATAGCATACTATATATGGATAGAAAGATGGATTCTCATGTTTAGACCTTGTTAGTTTAACCACTGAAAACTGTCATTGTTAGTTTTTGTACGAGGACAATAACCTTGGAAAACAGTACCTCCGAAGGGGGTAGCCCCCTACCAGACCCACCCCCCCCCCCCCTTACCCCTCACCTTTGAAAAATTTGTGGCCTCTGCTCGGCCCCCTCATCTGATGTATCCAAGAGACGCAACTTTTTCTTCTGTCTCAGGAATTTACAAATAAGACTTCATGCAAAGCTTTCAATACAACTAAATATTTATATCATCAAATTACATGCTTTATTTAAAATATTAGATCATCGCCACTTCTGAGTTGATCAACACGTGAAACTTGTAATTCTTGGACACCTCTATTCAGGTGATTGATTCCTCTCCTTCTTCTGAAGTTGACTTCTTCTACTTTTGACACCAGTCGTAGAGGGCGACCAGAATCGATACTTCGAGCAGCTCTCTTCTGAATCTCGTGTACTCCTTTTAGGATGTCTCCGTTAATGGGGCTGCATAGGGCAGCTGAAATAAAAATATAAACATTGATTGAAGCAGCAAATTCTTAAACACTCCTAGAATACCCTAGAATCTCGGATGACTTCAGACTGACGTTTGTTCGTTTGGAAAGTCACTCTTATTCTGTACGGATGTTACCGTCGAGATTTCGAGGGTACTTTTATGCTGTGAGGCTAAAGATAAAGTCTGATGTTTCATTTAGGACTAAAAAATCTTTTTAACTAATATAAATTATTCATAACGGTAAATTATTTCAAGGAATGGTTTCTACATAAATGAGGGAATGTTAACTTTTATCACTTAACTCTTTGCTTGACCACGATAAGAGTTGATACAATTGTAATCAAATCAAAGACTTTATATAAATCAGAATTATTTCAAAGACATCAATTCCTAGTTTTATAGAGGCCTTGATTAATGTGTCTGTAAAAAGGTATCTAAACACAGTTATCTTAAATTATTCAACTTTATCAGGAAAAATTCAAATAATATACGAAAATCAAAACTCACCAATAACAAGAGTTACGACCAGGATTTTCATTGAAAGTTCCATGACTGAGCCGTATTTACTGTTTATAGTCTGTACGGTGTTAGTAATAACTGTGACCCAAAATGTAGCGCATAACTATTTTATTACCCGAAAGGATCAGCCACGTGACATCTATTTCTTTTTGCGCAGTATGCTTTTAAAGTGTCTATCCTGTTTAATATTTCTTTTTTCAAATTAAACAAACGTGTAACATCGTGAGAATTTTCGCTAATTTCGGAATTCATGTTTTTTTTGATGAACAAACAGCCTAGATATCAATTTACTATACTTGTAAAGGAAGTTTGTCAAATAGAGCCCTCGGGCATTCTTTGTATGTACTCCCTTTTTTCAAAAATGTTACGTATAAATATTAAGAATGAAATCGAATTAATTCTTGAAGTGATAGACGTCGAACAAGTTGTTGTCTTGGGGGTTAATATTATGACTTTTAACACAATCATCTTTAAAAGTTTACTTATTCGAGTAGAACGAGGAGTACTATTTTGGTTAATCTGGAAAAGGTCAGTTTGATTCTTGGTGGTATCCTCCCATCAGTCATACAGGCCATTAGCCATACATCCTATTATTGTTAATAGTCATACAGTTGAGTAGGTAGTTAATAAAGCACTCACTTTACTCAGTAAAAAGACAAAAGTTAAGCATAGATCTGTAATATATTATATAGTTCTATGGTTTAAGTTGTTATCTTTGGAAATATGGATATCTGGTTTGGTATCGGAATTTGGTCTAAAGTGGGGTTATGCTTTGAAGCATAATTTTCGCCTAAATGTACTGACCTAAACTTTATTTTGCAATCTTGAATCTTTCAATCTTTTAAAATTCAATTATTACACCAACTTGGGCATTCATAATTTGAAAGCTATTGAAAGAAATATTTCCAGAGATTTCCGTTCAGCTTTCAACCTATTCAAATTAAAATGTTGTTTTGAATATTATTGCGAAATAACAGGTTTTCAGTCATATTATTGTGATAATGATGTTTCGATTTATGAATACACTCATTAATATTAAAAAGGGAATTTCTTGATAAATTTTCAACTTTAGACTATCATTCGTAGCCTTGAAAATTCAAATCATGTCAGCAAAATTTTGAATCACTTTGATTTTCTCAAGGTGACCTCTGCAGAACTCCACTTGCAATTGAAACTTCAAGGTGACCTCTTCAGAATTCCTTTCACTATTCAAATTTTTCCGAGAAGTCACATGGATGTTTGGGTATAAATGGACTGAAGAAGTGCAATATTGGTCACAGAATCCAAATAGAGACTTATAATAAAGGTAACTATGATTCGTTAACATCAATTTTGACCAAAAAATATATTTTTGATAATTTCTTTTAATTGTTTAAATGATTAAACAAAATTTAATATTAGTGTATACTATAATTACAGTAAAATATGAAAGTTTCCTCTTACATCTTAGTATTATTTCACCTTGTTGGTAAAATTTTGTTATTTGGAAAAATGCTTATTGGAAAACTTCAGCAAAAATAGGCAATGAATCATCTTATAATGTTGTTTTTTAGGATTAAAGATGGGTTTGTTGTTAAAAATTTCGCTCTTGGCTTCTATTGTAGTCTATGTCTCTGCAGGAGCATGTAAGTAGCCTATCTATCTTGTTTTAAAGGAATACTACCTCTTAAAATGGACATAAAATCTGAAGTCTCAAACTTGGTAGATAGCGTAGATATTTATAGGCCTTCATATCTGTTGGAATTACCAGGTGCCATGACTAAAAAATAGGATCTCTATATATGACAATTATATCCACTAAACTTAGTAATTATTGAAAAACGCTTCTAACCATGGTAAGTTTACTGATATGACTCATTCTGGCCAAGTTTAAAAATTTCAATTTTTGGTCATCCTAAGAGGTAGTTTACCATTAAATTTTCTCCGAACGCCAAAGTCCATCTCAATTCCATTTATGTGATTTTCATAGATGAATGCAATGACAATGATTTACTCTTTATCAGAGCTTACTCATCTATGCTTCACAGTAATTCTGAAACAAAATTTTCTTAGTTTACCATGTGAATTTATTATACTTTTTTGTTAGCAAATTGTGTGATTGGGAACTGTCCCTGTAACTCGAAGGTAATAAATCTAAACAAGCCCTCGAATCCTACCAGAAATGATTTCACTGTTTGCTGTCAACCAACTCCCGAAGAACCTTGCAGCGAATACATATCAGCTGGTGATGCTACAGAAACTGATAATGCGTTTTGTAGTTGTGCTTATACAAGTATGTAATATCTTTTACTCAAAATATTTAAATCGATTATATTATGCGCGATATCAAAATACGCCCGAATTTTTTGTCGCCAGTCCGTTCAAGTCGACTAATTCCAGCGATTGATCAATTTTATCCCAAATATCGCTTGATGCTTGAAGTGGTTGTATATCCAGTTGCTCATGGAAAATAACAATGTCCTTTATTTGTCTAATTATATATCTAACCAATTTGTATAACATTTTTTTTTCCAAATAGAGGTTTTTGGTGAGTGCTTACGTGGTGACGACAAGTGTCACGATAAGCGAGATGGACCTTCACTAAATGGTATGCCACTATGTTGCGAAGATCCCAATAAACAAGCTTTTGCAGAATATATTGAGACCAATGACACCTATCACTGCAGATGTAGTAAGCATATTTTTTTATACCAACCAAAAAACCATATTTAATTCATGAATTTATTTGAATTTTTATATTCGCAAGAGACTTTTGATTTTGTACTTTGCATTGTGTAAGTTTGTTACTTTTGTATGAGATATAAAATATCAATATTAAAATTGAATGTGCAAATATAGTGCAGATATCAAATTGTTATATCTTTAGCACAATAACCAAACGCTAAAATATTACACTGTTTTGCATCGAATGGTTATGAGTAATTAGATATTAAATAATATATTTTTTTACTTGCAGGACAAGCATGTAAGTATTATCTTTAACTTCTTTCCTAAAATAAATTATTCTGTGAATAAGGCGTAACTAGACAAAACATGAATATTGAAACTGTATGACATATACATGAATATCAATATGAGTAAATGAGTAATTGCCATTACTGAATGTCCTCATTGCACACTGCATGTCGTCACTAGTGTCTACAGGATACAAATGGTACGGCGTGAACTCCAAATATTCAATTTATGGGTTTTTTTTTTTTAGCTAACTGCTTAGCAGATGGTGACTGCACTTGCAACACCAAGACCATCAATACCAAACCTCCTGGTGAAACACCCAAAACTCAACAAGTTTGTTGTCCTGCATTTGATGGCACACAGTGTAGCTCCTATTTAAGAGTTGGGGACTCGCATAATAGCTCGATCCCTGCATACTGTGACTGTGACTTTGCTCGTAAGTTATGTTTATAGTGTTTATCCTCTCTGAGATGTATCGATAAAACTGATAGTAGCCATACCATAATGTGCTTTCTTTTGCACAATATTTTACGTTATTCTGATTCTCGGCAGAAATGTCGTGGTTATTTTTTGCGATATGCCCTTCTCTGAACGCCATGAGATAATTTACTTCCGCATTTCTAATGTATAGGTGTAAACTCTTTTCAGTATGATAATATTTATAATTTTCAGGAATAAAGGGGAGCTGTTTGAGAGGCGAACAGTGTGCTGGTAGTGATAAAGTGACTGGGGCCGACCTGAATGGTATGCCAATTTGCTGTGCCAACAGTGACCACTATATCAGTTCAGTTGGGCAAATTCCAGACTCTAGAGATTTCTCCTGTACTTGTGGTGAGTACAAGTTATTTAAACTATCTTGAAAAGACAAAATGGTCGATTAAACTTTGATGAATCATTGCGACTTACAGTATTCTACATCAAAAGGGGGTTTATAAAAAGTTTCGTTTTGTATGTGAATCGGTTATGTTTAGTTTTAGTGTAATTGCAAGAAATACACACGTCTGACTGGCAATTTAAAAGGTAATAGTAATCAACAGTTTCGATATTCCATAGACAAATTAATGGTGCTTTTTTGCTAATTTTGTATCCTTTTTGCAGCCCCAATGCAACCTCCTCCTAGTAGTTGGTATGGAAACTGCTTGAGAGGAAATTCTTGTTATGGGAAGGATTTGATTGGTTTATTCAATGGCGTACCGGTTTGTTGTCCCAACCCTAGTTTGACCTACGACGGTATAAGTCAAGTGGGGTCAGTGTATGTATGTTCTTGTGGTAAGTTCACATTTAATAGTGTTCATCTATGGTATCTCTGTGATCACAGAATACTACACGTTGGGCTCGATAGTTCAGAATGTCTTGACGAGACCATAAAATAAGGTACCGTAGTTGGTGTCGATAACGTTACAGCACAAGCCCAATCGTTCAAAACACTTTATGGCATTGTGCAACTGGCTTTTTTTTGTTCAGATTGTTTTTTTTTTTAAAGGGATTGTATAGAAATTTTCTAAAAAAAAATTATGTTTATCGGGACACCGATAGCATCACTTTGCACCTTTCAATCAGTGTTTGATGACGTCACAAATCGCAAACTAATATTATGCTTTATCACATTATCACATAAGGCGATTAGTGACGTCATCACATAAAACATTTAAAAAACCTCTTTACAATCCCTTGAATAGAAGTCTCTCTTTCATTGTGAAAGTCGAATAAAAGTTTCCTATTTATTTTCAGTTTAAATGCAAGTCAGAAAGCTATTTCTACGGCCGAACTCATGTGTGTTTTTAATTAGTTTCATGAAATAAACCAATTAACATGCTTAACGTTGTCATATTTGAGCTCCAATATCATAAGTAGAATGCCAGGTGTCAGGTGTCACGAGCGAGTACCTGCTCCTCGATCTGAATCTTATGCTGCTTAGTTTGGTTAAAGTTGACCCTAAGAATTGGATTATTACATTCTAATTTTTATTGGGTATAATGTAACCTAGTCGTATTAGAAATTTTTTCTGCAGATTTCAGAGCTCTCAGGAATACATAGAATATATAATCGACCCAAACCCTAGTCAGAAACTTGCTGACGCTAATTTTTTCTTCAATATCATTATTGTACTATGTCCTAATCTGATGGTTGTCGCGTGCCTATACCTTCTGACCCACCCACCCCAGACGTCCGTGGTTCCTGTAATTCCACAAAAAGTGGGTGTTTGGTGACGCGACTCAGCGCAAAATATGCAGTATGTCATTAGATGATTAGTCATCAAACACTTAATTTAAGTGAAGTTGCAGGAACCACAGATATATATTTTTCAACCCAGTCATTCAAATCTACTGAAATATAAACGTATCAATTATCGCAGTTCACCAATATCATGTGACCAGTAGACCCTATACTCTTATAATTTCATTAACGAAACGTAGAAGAGACGGTTTTTGAAAAGTTAATGATGACGATACCGAGAAATTCATTTGGTTGGTTCAACAGGACAGTGCTTCTTCACAAGGGAGAAATTGGTAGACCGTGGGGAGGAATTATTGCTGGAGGCGGCAGAACGGAGAGTAAATGGGACGTGATGACGTAATTCACCCGGATGAAATGTTTCCCCTGTCTAGGGCTTTCTCATACGTCAATACGTCAGCGAGTTCGCCACTCCGTCAATGAGTTCGCCACAACATCAATGAGTTCGCGACTCCGTCAAGGAGTCCTTCGACCGTCAGTGCCTCACGTCAATGGTTTAGTTAACCCGACAATGTATCAAAGTTTTGTTTTTGATCCATTCTTTGATTATTTTTACATTTTAGGTGAGTTTTTTTCCATTGACATCAGACAGTCATAAAATTGCCCCAACCTTTCATTGGAGCCAGTCCGTTAATTAATACAGCGCTTCTTCATGCGTCGCTCCGGCATTGGTGTCAATGGATCCGTCATTCCGTCATTGGCTTTATCCGTTATTGCCGTCACTTCGTCAATCATCACAGTGACGGAGTGGCGAACTCACTGACGGAGTGGCGAACTCATTGACGGAGTGGCGAACTCACTGACGTACTTGTCCCGATATCCATTCAATTCATCAGGACATTGCCACGTATTAAGACGTAGGGATTGTCTTTTGATATAAAAAATAATCAAATATAGTAGTTCAACAAATTAGGTTTATTTATGATGAAATACAGGAACGGCTTATAACACAGTTCAAATCAAATCTTCTCACACCATGAAATCAATGAATAATATTGATAAAGTTACAAGCTCACTGTAACTGCGACTGAGAACCGCAACTGGTTAGAAAAAACAGTTCCTGATTGTAACTTCCAAACTGCTGTCAAACCAACAGAACTCACAAAACGAGCTAAATATTAACAAAAAGTTTTTATAGCATCCATGTGCTTATTTTCAACAGGAAGTTCTAATAATCTAGGAACACTAGTCTTTTCCTCCAGACGTAAATGCCAATTCAATAGACAATATAAAAATGCAAGATTATCCAGACCAATTGGATTTAGACCACAAATATTAAATTATTAATAAAATTGGAATCAGACCACCAATATTTTCTTACATTGAAATAAACTTAAAATGGTAGCCACAGTACTGACGTATGAGGAAGCCCTAGCCACGGTAAACATTCCATCCGTCATTCGTCGATGCTACCTTACAAAATTACGGGGCTCTATGTAAATAACAAAGCGAAAGAATACAGGATTAAGTTTCGGAAGTTTCGGTACTAGTAACGGGCTTGACGAAAACGTCGACTTACTGACAGACATCATTGATGCTCTGATGCATTCCTTAAGTTTGGCAAAATGGCTGAAGTGTACTGACTGAATCAATGTTGCATTTATTTTTTCGATTTCTTTTGTAATTATTGGTGTTTCGTATTCTGTAAGGTAGCATCGACGAATGACGGATGAAATGTTTTCCCCTGTCTAGGGCTTCCTCATACGCCAGTACGTCAGTGAGTTCGCCACTCCGTCAATGAGTTCGTCACTCCGTCAATGAGTTCGCCATTAAGTCAATGAGTTCGCCAATACGTCACTTGGATGATTGACGGATTAAGCCAATGGCAATGACTGACGGAGCTACCGATTCATTGACGGAGTGACGGATGAATAAGGCGTGTATGCTCAAGGGCTACCTCTTACGTCAGTACGTCAGTGAGTTCGTCACTCCGTCAATGAGTTCGTCACTCCGTCAATGAGTTCGCCACTCCGTCAATGAGTTCGCCACTCCGTCAATGAGTTCGTCACTCCATCAATGAGTTCGCCACTCCGTCAATGAGATCGCCACTACGTCTCTTGGATGATTGACGGACTGACGTCAATGACGGATTAAGCCAATGGCAATGAATGGCGGAGCTACCGATTCATTGACGGAGTGACGGATGAATAATGCGTGTATGCATCAGGGCTACGTCAGTACGTCAGTACGTCAGTGAGTTCGTCAATCCGTCAGTGAGTTCATCACTCCGTCAATGAGTTCGCCACTCCGTCTATGAGTTCGCCACTCCGTCAATGAGTTCGTCACTCTGTCAATGAGATCGCCACTACGTCACTTGGATGATTGACGGACTGACGTCAATGACGGATTAAGCAGATTCATTGACGGTGTGACGGATGAATAAGGCGTGTATGCATCAGGGCTACCTCATACGTCAGTACGTCAGTGAGTTCGTCACTCCGTCAGTGAGTTCGTCACTCCGTCAATGAGTTCGCCACTCCGTCAATGAGTTCGCCACTACGCCATTGAGTTCGCCAATCCGTCACATGGATGATTGACGGACTGACGCCAATGACGGATTAAGCCAGTGGCAATGAATGACGGAGCCACCGATTCATTGACGGAGTGACGGATGAATAAGGCGTGTATGCTGAAGGGCTACCTCATACGTCAGTACGTCAGTGAGTTCGTCACTCCGTCAATGAGTTCGTCACTCCGTCAGTGAGTTCGCCACTACGTCAATGAGTTCGCCACTCCGTCACTTGGATGATTGACGGACTGACGCAAATGACGGATTAAGCCAATGGCAATGAATGACGGAGCTACCGATTCATTGACGGAGTGACGGATGAATAAGGCGTGTATGTCTGATGGCTACCTCATACGTCAGTACGTCAGTGAGTTCGTCACTCCGTCAACGAGTTCGTCATTCCGTCAATGAGTTCGCCACTCCGTCACTTGGATGATTGGCGGACTGACGCCAATGACGGAGTGACGGAATCATTGACGGATGAATAAGGTGTGTATAAGCCCTGGATTATGTTATACGTAACTACGCCAATCCGTCACTGGGAGTCAGGGCTACCTCATACGTCAATACGTCAGTGAGTTCGTCACTCCGTCAATGAGTTCGCCACTCCGTCAATGAGTTCGTCATTACGTCAGTGAGTTCGCCACTCCGTCACTGGAGTCCATCAATACGTCGATGCTACCTTACAATTTTATAACTTTTGTTTTTAATAAGTTCTTAAACGAAAAACGACATTTGACGGAGTATTTAAATCAAATCGTCTATAGAACATGTCAAAAACTAAAAAAAAAATTTCGTACAAATTGGGGAATATCTAATTTCCATCAGTAAACGAAAATAAGATACAAGCTAATGACTTCGATTTTCGTGTTTTTAAAGCATCGTAACTCGTTTCTATTATTGTATGAACCTATATCAACATTCTTGCAGGATATCGATCTCAATTTGCTTATGGGTCGTGCAAGTGAAATATCTTGTATGTAGGCTATACAAATAGGCCAGAATTTTAACAATTCTTGGTATGTTTACGTATAATTTTGTGTACATCGTTTTATTACTTCACCATCTGCAAGTTTCTTATATATTACTTTCAGTTTTTGCGATGGTTTAAAGGGAATTACATGAACCTCAGACGTCCTATTGGAAATTTGAATGGTGAAAATTGATCCTTTCAGTATTCCCAATACATAACTTTGGACAATCTCTTTAATATGGAACAAATGATGTGAAAAAATTTGTAGTCATAATCATATTGCATTTTTAATGAAAAAAGACGTTAAACTCCAACACTTGAATTGTTGCTTCTGAATGCGTTAGACAATATTTACATTATGCATTTGTAAGTAACAAGCCATATTGAAATGTGCTGTGATCAATGGAGATATTATAATATTTTTTTAAAAACAAAAGAATAAATGAGATTAAAGCTGCCATCACTCGTTTGCCATGATTGTGATAACTGTGAAAATATATATTTTTTCAAAAACTTGTAATATCTTATGTCGAATTCTGGTATTCTTTTTTTTTAATAAAACAAATAATAAGAAAACTGTTTTGTCTTCTAATAGTGCCATAAATTTTTTTTATTATACTTTCACTATACCAAAATCGCGATAGATTTTTTCATCGCTTTCCTAGATTCCTTGAACATTTTTTTTTTTTTTCAATCTGTCATTGACGTTAGTCCGTCAATCAATGCAGTGACATAGTGGCGAATTCATTGGCATAGTGGCGAACTCATTGACGGAGTGGACAATTCACTGACGTAGTGGTGAACTCATTGACGGAGTGGCGAACTCAATGACTTAGTGGCGAACCCATTGATGGAGTGGTGAACTCATTTATGTTGTTAAGTATGAAGCAATCCAGGGCTGAATACCTAATTTATTGGCATTCAGTTTTAGCATTCCTTTAGGTTGAATTGAAAGCCCCCGGACTTTATTGATATCTGTCATTGGAGTCAGTCCATGAATACCTCTTCCGTCATTCTGCTAAGGATTTCGCCACCCCATCAAACGGCCCGTCACTCCGTCATTGCCTTTAGTCCGTCAATCATCCCAGTGACGGAGTGACGAACTCACTGACGTAGTGGCGAACTCATTGACGTAGTGGCGAACTCACTGACGCACTGACGTATGAGGAAGCCCTAGACAGGGGAAAACATTTCATCCGTCATTCGTCGATGCTACCTTACAAGATTACAGGGCTCTACGTAAATAACAAAGCGAAAGAATACAGGATTAAGTTTCGGAAGTTTCGGTACTAGTAACGGGCTTGAGGAAACCATCGACTTACTGACGGACATCAGTGCTGCTCTGATGCATTCCTTTAGTTTAGCGAAATGGCTGAATTATACTGACTTAATCAATGCTGCATATATTTTTTCGTTTTCTTTTGTAATTATTGGTGTTTCGTATTCTGTAAGGTAGCATCGACGAATGACGGATGAAATGTTTTTCCCTATCTAGGACTTCCTCATACGTCAGTACGTCAGTGAGTTCGCCACTCCGTCAATGAGTTCGCCACAACGTCAATGAGTTCGCCACTCCGTCAATGAATCCTTCGACCGTCAGTGCGTCACGTCAATGGTTTAGTTAACCCGAAAATCTTATCAAAGTTTTGTTTTTGATTCATTCTTTGATTATATTTACATTTTAGGTGTTTTTTTTCATTGACATCAAACAGTCATAAAATTGCCCCAACCTTTCATTGGAGCCAGTCCGTTAATACAGCTCTTCTTCATGCGTCGCTCCGGCATTGGTGTCAATGGATCCATCATTCCGTAAGTCCGTCATTGGCTTTATCCGTTATTGGCGTCACTTCGTCAATGAACTCACTGACGTACTGACGTATGAGGAAGCCCTAGCCACGGTAAACATTTCATCCGTCATTCGTCGATGCTACCTTACAAAATTACGGGGCTCTACGTAAATAACAAAGCGAAAGAATACAGGATTAAGTTTCGGAAGTTTCGGTACTAGTAACGGGCTTGAGGAAACCATCGACTACGGACATCAATGGTGCTCTGATGCATTCCTTTAGTTTAGCGAAATGGCTGAATTATACTGACTTAATCAATGCTTTATTTTTTCGTTTTCTTTTGTAATTATTGGTGTTTCGTATTCTGTAAGGTAGCATCGACTAATGACGGATGAAATGTTTTCCCCTGTCTAGGGCTTCCTCAGTACGTCAGTGAGTTCGCCACTCCGTCAATGAGTTCGTCACTCCGTCAATGAGTTCGCCACTCCGTCAATGAGTTCGCCACTCCGTCACTTGGATGATTGACGGACAGATGCCAATGACGGATTAAGCCAATGGCAATGAATGACGGAGCTACCGATTCATTGACGGAGTGACGGATGAATAAGGCTTGTATGCTGAAGGGCTAACTCATACGTCAGTACGTCAATGAGTTCGTCACTCCGTCAATGAGTTCGTCACTCCGTCAATGAGTTCGTCACTCCGTCAATGAGTTCGTCACTCCGTCAATGAGTTCGCCACTCCGTCAATGAGTTCGTCACTCCGTCAATGAGTTCGCCACTCCGTCAATGAGTTCGCCACTACGTCACTTGGATGATTGACGGACTGACGTCAATGATGGATTAAGCCAATGGCAATGAATGACGGAGCTACCGATTCATTGACGGAGTGACGGATGAATAAGGCGTGTATGCTGAAGGGCTACCCCATACGTCAGTACGTCAGTGAGTTCGTCACTCCGTCAATGAGTTCGTCACTCCGTCAATGAGTTCGCCACTCCGTCAATAAGTTCGTCACTCCGTCAATGAGTTCGCCACTACGTCAATGAGTTCGCCACCCCGTCAATGAGTTCGTCACTCCGGCAGTGAGTTCGCCACTACGTCAATGAATGACGGAGCTACCGATTCATTGATGGAGTTACGGATGAATAAGGCGTGTATACGTCAGTACGTCAATGAGTTCGTCACTCCGTCAATGAGTTCGTCACTCCGCCAATGAGTTCGCCACTCCGTCAATGAGTTCGCCATTCCGTCAATGAGTTCGCCACTCCGACACTTGGATGATTGACGGACTGACGCCAATGACGGAGTGACGGAATCATTGACGGATGAATAAGGTGTGTATAAGCCCTGGATTATGTTATACGTAATTACGTCAATCCGTCACTGGGATGATTGGCGGACTGACGTCAATGACGGATTGAGCCAATAACGCAGTGATGGATGAATTAGCTGTGTATCAGCCCTGGACTGCTTCATACGTCATTACGTCAATGAGTTCGCCACTGACAGACTGGCATATTCTTTCGTTTTATTTTAAGAAACGCTAGTATTCATCATTTTGTAAGGTAGCATCGACGTACGTCTTTCTAAAAATTTCGTTTTGATTTCGTTTTGTGATTATAATTCATTAATATTACATTTTTTGTTCGGTAGCATTGACGATTGACGTTATGATGGAATCACTGACGTGAGTGGCGACCTCATTGACGGAGTGACGAACTCACTGACGGAGTGACGGGTGAGGTAGAATTAATTGGTCACTGGGATGATTGGCGGACTGACGTCAATGATGGATTGAGCCAATAAAGCAGTGATGGATGAATTAGCTGTGTATCAGCCCTGGACTACTTCATACGTCATTACGTCAATGAGTTCGCCACTGACGGACTGGCATATTCTTTTGTTTTATTTTAAGAAACGCTAGTATTCATCATTTTGTAAGGTAGCATCGACGTACGTCTTTCTAAAAATTTGATTTCGTTTTGTGATTATAATTCATTAATATTACATTTTTTTGTTCGGTAGCATTGACGATTGACGTTATGACGGAATCACTGACGTGAGTGGCGAACTCACTGACGGAGTGACGGGTGAGGTAGAATTAATTGGGATGAATTTGAATTTTTAATCTGCCAGATTGTCGTCATGAAACGCCTGGAATCGTCATGAATCGCCTCTAATCATCCTGAATCGCCCCTATTTTTTACCCGATCGAATACGGACCAATGGAGTATGGCCCATGCCATGAGTAGGGGTAATCGGGGCCAAAACATTCTTTGGAAAATGTCCTCATAAGCAAATTTGAACGACCGAAGATCTTTTACTTTCGGTTTCCTGTGCCTACATTTCAAGTTATCGGGACTCAATCGGGTCAAAAAAGAAGACAATTTGAGGCGATTCAAGACAACAATCGGGCCGATCAAAAAAATATATCATCGGAGACAATCAGGTTCAGATCGGACCGATTGAAAAGAAACAATCCTTGGCGAAATGGGGATATTATACAAAAAACGTTACAAAAGAAAACGATTTCAAGTTTTTCAACTTTTTTACCAAAAGTAACTCCGAAACTCATAAAACAGCTAGTCAAATGTTGCTAAATCGTGTTATTCATTTTTAGATACCAGTGAAGGTGGCATGCCCAAATATTGTGCCTAACTTGAAAGCAACTATTCTTAGCTCAATGGAAGTTTTCTATGTTAAGAATGACAGTAAATCTACTCTGCTTCATCAAGCTACATCTAGATGAACAAGACATACATTTTAAACTGAGACTTTATTGTTGGAACTATTTGACAACATATAATGCCAATTTATCGTCTTTCACGTCTATATTATATCATCTAAATTGTCTTCTGCATCATTTATCTTTTTACCCATTTCTTCAACACCTTCCACTTCGTAGATATTATCCCCAAAATCTGTTACCTCATCGATTTCATCAATATTGTCGATACTATCTGCATTCTCATCATTTATTTCATCGATATTGTCGATACTATCTGCATTCTCATCATTTATTTCATCAATATTGTCGATACTATCTGCATTCTCATCATTTATTTCATCGATATTGTCGATACTATCTGCATTCTCATCATTTATTTCATCGATATTGTCGATACTATCTGCATTCTCATCATTTATTTCATCGATATTGTCGATACTATCTGCATTCTCATCATTTATTTCATCAATATTGTCGATACTATTTGCATTCTCATCATTTATTTCATCGATATTGTCGATACTATCTGCATTCTCATCATTTATTTCATCGATATTGTCGATACTATCTGCATTCTCATCATTTATTTCATCAATATTGTCGATGCTATCTACATTCTCATCATTTATTTCATCGATATTGTCGGTACGATCTGCATTCTCATCATTTATTTCATCGATATTGTCGGTACGATCTGCATTCTCATCATTTATTTCATCGATATTGTCGGTACGATCTGCATTTTCATCATTTATTTCATCGATATTGTCGATACTATCTGCATTCTCGTCATGGATTTCATCGATCTTGTCTACGTCATTTTCAAATATTTCTCGCGGGGAAGAATTAGTAGGCCCAACTGTCACAGCCTTAGAAAACACTGAAATAGATAAAGGAAATCAAAACATAGAATTATCAATTTTGCAGTTTTCTTTCTATGGTGCCTCACAATCTCACAACAAGAAACTCAGTTAGAACAAGTTTCATGGCCACAAAAAGTGTGAAATGAACAAAATTAAATCAATACCGTTTTAATTTTAGTCATAATTTTACATTGTTACTAGTGATAGTATATGATAGTGAGTGACAGTAGATGATGATAGATGACAGTAGATGATGAGATGACAGTAAATTATGATGGTAGTTGACAGTGTATGATAATAAACGACCGTAAATGATGGGATTCGAGTGTATATAATGGTGGGTGACAGGAGATGACGGTTAATTGTGAGGGGATGACAGGAGATGACAGTAGGCCTAAATTATGGGGGATGAAAGTAGATGATTGTGGGGAACAGCAAATGATGGTAGATGACAGTATATAATGGAGGATACGAGTAGGACAAGGGGGTGACAATAGTGGACATTTCTTAAATACGAGATGACCAACTAGAAATTAACTAATTAATTTCTAATTACGAAACTAAGTAATATTTTTATTACATTAATGTCCTGACCCAATAGCACGGTTCCGTCTTATAAACATAAATTAAATGATGAAGAAAGAAGTATTAATTTCGATATATCGGAACTAAAAATTATTTTCCAAAATATGTTTTTTTTTCTTCAAGTTGATTCATGCATTTTATATTTTAAAAGCCATTACTATCTTAAAGGTTTGCGGAAATGTTTATGAAAGCCGCTTTGTTAGCTGGTCGGTGGGTGTTGGGAAACTGCTGTACGGAGTTAACAAAAATAAAGATTAAATTTGAGAGAAATATGCGTCCTACTTATTCTGAAGCCTAAGAAAACGAGATATCATTTATGCTAGTTTAAACTTTTCAATAAGAACACTATTAACTCTTTAATTAGGCTGCCTTGGTTAGACATTTTGTAAAATGAACCATAAATTTGGGGGTTTTCCTTCACTAATGTGTTCACACAATGGAATCATTCTCGTTTAAGAAGCCCGAATTTGTTGTCTATGAAAGGTCATTCTATTCCCCAAACTATTTGTACAACCAATATACGTTGTATCCACAAAAGGCGATAGTATATATAACAAACTCTCTAGCACCTGGCATATTAGTTTTATAAATATAGATTTAATTAATTAATTAATTAGTTAATTAACCTATGGTTACCAAAAAAATATCAAATCTTACCTTCATGAAAAATAATAAAATTCAATATACAAATCAAAACCTTCATCTTGCTTGTTTGTAAAATTAACAATCTTTAAAACATAAGTTTTACCTTAAATTCAATATGAAAACTAACCTCCCTTTCGAGAAAACTAAATTGTTTTTAAGATAATTCTGTGGAAATTTTTCAGATCCGGTTTTAAATCACAAGTAAAAAATAGCTTGATTTTCTTAATATTGCGAAATGGATGCATTAGTCATCTGAATTTCGAATAAACTATTTGTAGAGTGTTTTGACTTGCAATATAGAAAATGATCTTTTTACAAATAATTCAAATTTCAAACTTGCACACACGACATGCATGGATAACATTTAACACGTAGAACTATTGTTAATATGTTTCGTAGTTTATTGATACGGTATACCAAAAAGCGCTTCTCCTCTCTCAAACAGTATTTGCGATGCGACGATAGCATAGATAAGTCTTTTCTCTGAACCACTGATGCCAGATTTTGATTCGAGATGGTGCAAAGAATTATAGTCAAAAGAATTTATAGTTATGATCAGAAATAACGCAACTTCATTTGGTTTATGTATTTTAGCATAACAACATAAAATTTTGGTGGGTTACTATGTTTCAATTCAAATTCTTGTTTCAACTCTAATGACTTTAACAAGGACGCTCTCAATTTGTTCTGAACAAATAAACTATAAGTTACTTTTGTTACGGTAAGTAAATATAAGCTATGTACATACACAAATACATATATTTTCTTGATACCCTGTTGAATCTGATATCAGAAAGTGTTATTCATTCACGCATGCACGAATATTAAAGGGACGTTGCGCTTTTTATGTAGGTCGAAATTTTTTTTGCTCAAATTTTGAAAACTGAACAAATAAACTATAAGTTACTTTTGTAACTTATTAGTTAGCTAAAGCATGTCCAGATTCTGAATCCCTTAATAATTGTGCTTTACCAGATATGATAATTGAACGAGTTTCGAAAACATGGGCAGTAAGAGATTTGAGATATTTTTCAATTTATTTATTTTTGACAGGGATCATTATGGTGGCCCCTGAGCGCCATAGCTGTTTTATTAATTTATTTATGAAAATACCTTTCTTTTGAATTTGAATTCATTTTTATTTCACTTTCATTTTGTTTTTAAATTCATTTCGTTTTTTATTTTACTTTCATTTTGTTTTTAAATTCGTTTTACTTTCATTTTGTTTTTATATTCGTTTTATTTTCATTTCGTTTTTTATTTTACTTTCATTTTGTTTTTAAATTCATTTTACTTTCATTTCGTTTTTACTTTTTATTTTACTTTCGTTTTGTTTTTAAAATCATTTTACTTTTTATTTCACTTTCGTTTTGTTTTTAAAATAATTTTACTTTTACTTTCATTTCACTTTTTATTTTACTTTCACTTTCGTTTTGTTTTTAAAATCATTTTACTTTTACTTTCATTTTCGTTTTTTAAAAAAAATTCTTCTTCATTTACTGCGCCATAGTGTCCAGATTATCCAGTCACACTTTTGTCTATCATCCAAGTGTTAGAGTAATTCCCCTTGAATGTGGTCGTGCGAGAATTAAACTCTCCTTTTTATACGCCCACATGAATATGTGGTCGTATATTGTCGTCGCCCCTGTCCGTCGGTCCGTCCGTCCGTCGGTCCGTCCGTCAACATTTCTTGTGAGCACTATAGAGACTACAGTTTTCATCTGATT